TTGCTTTCTCTACCTTAACTCGTTTCCTAACTTCCCCTTGAACTTGAAATCAGCATATTTGGTGAACTCTTCAATGTCTAAATACGGTGAAAAAGGGGCAGAATGTTGGAAGGTCAACTTGAATTCTCCGGTGCGTTTTTGTTTCCAGTTAATGTACATACAACATAAAGAATGCAAAGCTGACACCAAAACACTTAGCCATCTGGGGTTGACTGAAGTTCACGACTGAAGTTTTCATTACATTTCCTAAGACAAGAGCTCCCTTTTAAAAGTATTTGTAACCAATACAAGGATTGCAAAAGAAGTCCGTAAAAGGCAGTAGTGTGGCTTTCATTTAGATTGTCTCGGGGGAGGGAATACATATGAGTTTCTGTAGATTAGTTTTGCGGATTTATGCAGTGTGAGAACGAAGATTTAAGCCCGGTGCAAACGGATGTAACATTGTTGGCCAACACTGCCTCCCAACATTGTTGGATGTTACGTGTTGCGTCTGTCTGCTGAAAGTTCGGAAACCGGTCTAACTTTTAGCTACCTGCAAACGGACGAAACGACTCCCAACAATGTTAGAAGTTGTTGGCCGACAATATGCGTCCGTTTGCACCGGGCTTTACTGTTTGCTCCGGATCTGCTTTTCACACTTCTAATTCTAACCGCCAAACAAGAGGCAAACATCCCTCGAAACTTAAAATGAAACTAATCGACAGTCTGTCCAACACTTTGTGAACGATTTTAAATGTAACTAGCGCCAATTAAATAAAGAAATTGTAAAAAACGTTCTTGCCGGAAGCAACTACGGCAATTTTTGACCGGCCAAATTAGGTCGATTTTTAAAATTTCCTGTCTTTAGAGAAGCCTAAGAACAATCAGAATAAATAGCAAACCTCAATTATTAAAAATTTAATTTCAGTCGATTTAGTCGTTTAAGTAAATGTTAGACATTGTCTCCGACTTCATATTATAAGTAAGGAAGAAAAATGAATCCGGCAATTATGATCACTGCCGAGTATGGTCTTACGGCATATTAGTTTTTATTAGCTATCTGAGTCTGGCATCCTAACAAATTTCTCGCATCCTGTATGCCACTGCTTCTTAAAAGAATGTTTTTTAGACACTTTTCCCTGTTACATTACCTCGCACGTAGTTCATCTGGAAAGGTCGGGAAAGCGCCGAAACACTGACGAAAACCAATAATTTAAAAAGGGCAACGGCGATTTAAAACTAATAATTGTTTCCTATTTTTCGGGAGTTTTAAAATGAAAATATGTACGATTAAAAGAATTGACAGAAACTGGCTCTACTGAAACCGAAACATCTTTCTTCAAAACAAATGTTCAGGTTTCAGCTCTATGTAACCTTAATTCAAAAAAATTTCTTAAATATCAAGACTGGAAGCATGAACCAAAATACCAAATTATTGATTTTGTATACCACGATAAGCACAAAAAATCCATCAGTTAAAACTACTTGCTATTATTTTTAAAAGCCACTGAGACTGGTTGGCGTAGTATGCATTCATACTATACACCCCCTAACTGACTTGGTGAAACCGACCTGATGAATTACTTGCCCTTCCCAGTGAAATTTTAGGCTCCGTGGCCTAGGGCTTTCCACAAGTTGATCGGCAACTTCAGTCGTATTTCCAGCAACTTTTTGCATTCTGAGCAATTTCTCTAATTATCTTCTGATTCTGAGATATCGGAGCAGCTTTTAGTGTTTAAATTGGCCTTTTTTCATATTTGACAATGTTTAAGTAGACAATTTTTTAATTTCCTGTTAAAAAAGGAGTCAAATTCCCCCCTGGAGATCATGGGCGCAAAATAAGAGTAGCGGGGTTGCTAGGTGAGTGGTTTTTAGAGAAAATTCAAAATGGTGGACGAAGATTCACACTCGATTGACTTGAGTGTCTCGGGTGAAGAAGGTCATTCAACAATTTTATTGGCTTATTACATTTTTGGTTTTAATTGAGGATAAAGTTTTTTAGCAACGCTAGTTACGCCAAAAACGATCAGAGATCTTACTTTTGTTGTGCAATTTGCATCAGACCAAAAACGTTTTTGTTTTTTCGAGCAACTTCTGCAACTTTTGAGCAACTTTCGTTACAAAAAGCAACTTTTGTTTGATTTTGGAGCAACTTTTGAGCAACTTTTTAAGAAGTCATTTTTTGCATTAATTTTTTCCATTGAAGCTTTCATTTATGACCATTTATACTAGTATTTTCCAGATGATAGTCATCTGGGTGAAAAACTGGCGCTCAGAAAAAGGCATCAATCAAAAACCCTAAAAATCGCCTTCTGCCATTTACAATCTGCTCAATTACAGGGAAATATGATAATTCCCATACAACGTCTCACAATTGCTGCAAAATGAATAATTAATAAGCTAAATAGGATAATGTCAGGGTTCTCATAGTGAGCTTGGGCTACCTGTGTTCCTTCTCGTACTTCCGGGTTCGTCTGTTGTCTGTTGTGGGAGCAAGTAGTTTTCAAACTAAGTTGGGATCATGGCTCAACAAAGCTTGCGAAAGCGACGACTGGAAGAAAAACTTGGCCTTAACGAAGACCAAACAATCAAGTCAGGTTTTGACCAAGAAACGATGGCCATTGTTTGGGATATAATGAACAAGAAATACGACGGATTACTCGACCATCCTTCAATCAACTACGACGAACAATCCTGGCCTAGCTGGGTCTTCTTTCTCATTGTACATGATGTGCACGCGGCGATCTGGGCTGTGGAAGAAAAAGACTTGAAAAATCTCGATGTTGTAGCACAGGAGTATTTAACTCCTTACAACGTTGGCCAGTGCTTGATATCCACCTCCATTATCCGTCGTTTTCATGTAGTATTACGACCAGATAACCATTACTATGTACAAGCTGATGAAATCCATCTTAGCGGAAAAGAACCACAGTTCGATGTTTGCCTTTATGTTGGCACCCTGACTCTCTCTTTACGAGCGCTCAAAGTACTCATGGCTATAATCGCCGACAAAAACTACCTTCTGCTCCAAAGTGACTGCCTCGAATACTGCAAACAATTTGTTTTTATATACTTCGACTTGATCGAAGAGGAAGTCAGCGAACAACAAATTGCCGTATTGGAAAAGCTGACGGTGACGACGAATGCTTTGTCGGCAGCGAGCGAGCGATCCGGACGACAAAATCGTTCGTCAGGTTTCTCTCTTCGCACAGTTATTACAAGTCCTTTCGTTCAAGTGTATTTGGCTACAGTACTGGGTGGGTTGACATTGTATGGTTTATTTAAATTATGCACTCTCCTCTCTCAGTAGATTTTTTCTCAGAAATGTACATCGTTGGTTATCTGATTGACACCACGAAAGCCTTTGAAGTATCGTCGGGTGTTCAATTTTACTTAGCAGTAGAAAACATTGAGTCTCATTGTCCAATAACTGGTGTCAGATTAATTAGACTAGACGCCTATAGTAAACGTACATTGTGCTGCATGAGTGCAGTGGTCTAAAAATTTGGAAAGTGTAATGATGCTATTTCTTTTAGCCTGCAGTGCAGGCGTATTTTGGGCGGGCGAAAGCTTGTTGTTGTAGCCGCCATCTTTGATTGTATGACAGAGGAAGATTGGGGAGAGTAGAAATAGCAACCCTTACGGTCGCCTTGGGTCGCCCTTTTTCCTCCTCTCTTCGAGAGTTTCGCGAGCAAAAGCATTCGCGCACCCGAAGAAAATGCTTGCAATGCAGTCTATATTTCTTTAAGATAAATAAATTGTTGTTAGTAAGGAAAGCGGAGATGCTGGTACAAAAGCGAGCAAGAAGCCTTCCGATGCCTTCCTTCTCAGTCTGTTCAGTCCACCAAATTGTGTGTAAAATTCATTTGTTTTGTTCCTCATGTTTAAAGTGAATGTGAATGATCAAATAAAGTTAATAGTCAGTCGAGCCTACTTTAGCTGAGAGACTCTGAAAATGTAACCGTTTCTTTTTTTTTTTTGGCGTGTGTCCTCACCAAAAGTGCATGGAAACTGGGGATAAGAATCGTGACGACTTTCATTGCATGCAAATGAGTCTCAAGATGATCAGGCGGAGTTCAGTATTTTCAACGATGACTGAAGTGACCCACCAAGTTGATCACGTTTTGGCTGTTTTAGCAATGACGTAATTTTCCCCTAATCGAGGCCCTTCGTTTTCGTGTAATTATACACACGCACCACATATACATACATATAAATATCCATCAAACAACTTTCTTTCTTTATAAATCAGTCAGACAACTACAATCCATTATTTATAAATAATGAAGTTCTCCTGGAGTGTGAATCCCAGGGTAGCTAATCGAACGAAACCGAACAAATCAATCGCGCCCAATCCACCCAAGAAAGATAGAAAGGGGCGCGCGAGGGAGCGTGTTTCCCTCTCGCGCAACCGCTCTTTTTTTCGCCTAAATACTTCCAAGCGCCTGCTACGCAGGCTATTCTGCAAATTGCTTGTTTACAAAATTGATATGTTTGGTGACATGCATGCATAAGTCTCATAGTGGTGAACAGTGTTCCATTACGTATCCAAGTATTTGGCTACATTTTATTTTGTAGTCGGTTAATGGTCTGCCTGGTGAAAAATAGAATCGACCTGGCGGATTTCTGTCTGACCTGGTAGACTTTTTGCCGAGTTCTCGATGAACAACCAGGTGTCGCCAGGTCTGTTAAAGAGGGCTGTTACATGAGCACATCAATTGTATCAGGTTTAAAATTAAGATTTCTCGGTAAGTTGAAAATGTTTTGCAGCTACAACTCAGTGGCAACAAAACTAGTTGAGATAATCTCAAAAGAAATTTAGGGCTCAGTTTAATTTTGTTATTTAAACCTCGTAGGGATCGCCAGGTTGATATGAAAGGAAAAACGCTTGGGTAAAGACGCCGTAAGGCTCGATCTCGGCCAAGCTCTCGGGTCCGGGCACATTTCCTGAATAGCGGCTGGTAACCCAGCCTAAGATGTCGTATCATGCAGGTTTTATAGAATAAAAGGTTTTTACCACTCCCTCATTTCTATATGTTACAGTTATTCACAACTTAAGTTACATAAATTTCGTGGCAATCTTTGTTTCGCGGTCTTTACATAGAAAACACTAACTGGAGATACAAAATCGGTGAAAGTTATCATGACTCATGAGTAATTAGATGAGAACATGTGTTTATGACTTGCCGGTCCGATCTGGTCTCCAAAATAATTCTACTGGTTAGAAAGGGCCCAGGAACGCTTTTGATTCCTGGCTGAAGCGTGCGATCAGTGAATGGAACCAAAATTTGAAAGCTATGTCTTTTCGTTTGTTTGCTTGCCTTTTTTCGTAGTATTTTTTTTCTCTTGGGTCGTTTTTCCTTTTGTTTCTTACTACTGGTCCTCTACTTAAGTATTGTGATGTTCTGCACACAAGTATTTATCATAGTCTTTGACTAAAATTACCTCTTGTTTAAGTATTGCTCCTGAAAAAAGACAATGGAATTTGCCACATTGTACTTATGCTTTTAGTTTGCGACTCTGCAAGGTGTACCGAATATTAGACAGAATCTTTGAAAGGTCATTCGCCTTTTCTGTCAGGTTTGCACTTGTGCGGCTTGGAAGGGGTGTCAGTAAAACGCGGGGTCGGTATGGAGCCGGGGACCGGCATAGGGGTCTATGTTTTTTTAAAGAATGCTGTCTTAGGGTGAGGGTTGGGGTTAAAAAGTCCCTTACGATCCCTAACGGCTCTCCGTCTTGAACACGTTAACTGAGACCAAAAACTTTAGTATCTATCCCTTTATATTAGCTTGACAATGTTAGCATGCTTTCTCTGGAGGAGTGGGGAGCGGGGGTAGGAGAAGAGAGAGGGGAAAAGGGGAGACAGACACGCGCGACAGCTTTGGCCTGGCTGCACAGCCGCGATAACTGCAAATCACAACAATGGCGGTTGGAAGTGTTGAAAAACTGAGGTGTGAAAACTAGTTATATTATAACTACCATTAACTACGGTCATGGAGAGTGATAAATGGAAATTGTGGCATACAGTGGCAGTTTCTTCAGTAGCAGGACTTCTGTGCTATTTAAATTCGCTGTCTGCGGACTTTGTGTACGATGATAGGTAAGATTTTCGTGTTAGTAGGAGGGTAGTGTTGGTGTTGAGGTTTCACAGTTCTTACAGACCTTACAAGTTTTTTTTTTATCGAGGATTAACGCCAAGAAGCGACATCGACAACAAACTTAGTGCCTTTTCGAAAATGAGCCTTTCAGTTCTTTGGGTTTACTCCCCGAGGTTCTTCAATCTCTTTTTCACTTTTAGTAAGAAAATTATTCCGTGCGATCTGTGCGCTACAGCGCTTTGCTAGTACACAGCACAAGATTGTTTATTGAAATAATGTGGGCAACCGAAGGATCAAATACAGGTAGGCGCCGAGGGAAATAAAATATCAAATAATCTCGGTTTATGTGCTCATCACGAAGGTCTGTAGTTAGAACGAATGCGATCAGCGATAAAGGTATTTTATGTGTCGCACAAGCAGAATTTCGAGGAGTTAGTTTTTGATTAATATCCAGAACCGTCAGACTTGTTTATGTTAGGCCACCCGTACAAAAGAAGGATTGTTTTAAGTTAATCGGCCACGGTAAAACTGATGTACAAAGGTGATCTAATGCTGGTTTTAAACACTTATTTAAATAAGCTACGCGTAGCTACGCTTGAAAGGATCACAAAGCTAATTTTCTCAGAAATGTAGCACTGTTTGGAATGTTCTTGTTATTAAATGGCGTGAGGCGTTTTCAAATCTTGTCCTATATTTGGCAGAGGAATCGATTGTCACAGTAGGAGAGCGCTTCACGCGTTATTTAATTTAGTAATTTTTTTCTCCGAGCTATTGGAAATTTTCTGTTCTTGGGTAGTGAGTTGAAAGCTGTTATGGAACATTCAGTCATTTATTTTAATCGTTAAATTTATGGCGTACTCCAAGACGCTTTTACAAAAACGATTCAACAACGACAACAACAGAAAATCTTAACATTACGGCCCAAGACTTTTACAAACGAAACTTGATGTCCACTGCAAGATTGGCACCTCAAGATTGGCACCTAATGTACAAGGGCTTAAAATTGGAGAAGAAATGATTAAACTGTCTCTATTTGCAGATGATATGACCTGTATCTTAAAAGACAAAACATCTTATACAAATCTGTTTCATATTCTCAACTCTTTTGGAGAGTGTTCCGGCCTAAAGGTGAATGATGAAAAAACAGAAATCATGCCTCTAGGAGATAATATCCTACAGGAGAAAGACTTCCCAACTCATAGTATTTGTGAAATCATAAAAATCTTGGGGATATATTTTGGTTATGATGATAGAAAAAGGAACAACCTTAACTTTAGTCAAACTTTAAAAAGTATAAAGGAATCAATCAACGTATGGAAATGGAGAGGGCTCTCCCTTTTAGGAAGAATACAGATAGTCAAAACTTTTGCTATCTCAAAGCTTATGTTCAGAGCTTTGGTTATACCAGTCTCTAAAGAACTACTTAATGAGGCAAACTCAGTTCTCTACAACTTTATTTGGAATGGGAAAGACAAAGTGAAGCGCCTTGCATTGATATCTGATATAGAAATGGGTGGACTCAAAATGTTGGACATTCAATCTATGATTTGCGCTAAACGAATAACATGTTTAAAGAAATTATTAGAGGATTACTCAAGTCCTTGGAAAGTAATCCTAGACAAACTTCTGTTACCAGTCGGAGGACGTTTTGTATTGCACTGCAACTTTCAGACTTTTAAATTGAAAATCAATCTACCAGCACATTATAAGGAATGCTTCGATGCGTGGTAGGAGGTTAATGGGAAGACTCCAAGTTGTTACGAGGAAATCATTAACGAAATTATCTGGAACAACAAATTTCTTTGTTATGACAAAAAATCGATGTATAGAAGAGACATAGTAAACTTAGGCGTCGTAAAGATTAAGGATTTAATTTCTGCGAACAACTCCTTCTCGTGCGACTTCTCTTCACTTACAAACCCTGAACAATGAGTATTATCAATTCGATTCCCGCAGAATGCTGCTCACTTATTAAAGCATCTACAAACGTAACATCAGCTAATCCCATACCGATTACCCCAACTATTAAGTTGCCGAGTGGTAATGTAGTGCCAATTCTTGATATCTCTCCTAAACAGATCTATCAAATCTTTTGGCAGCAAAAGCAAATTGCGCCCACCGCAAAACAGACACTGGACACAATGAGTAGCCATGTTGAGTGTACCCCACCTTCCCCCTCCAAAAAAATCTTTACCTATAAAAGGTTTCCTCAGAGGGTTAGGCCCATCACTTACATGTGTGACATGTACAATAACTACATCTGGAGCAGAGGTGGATCTAGGGGGAGGGTGCAGGGGCTGTGCACCCCCCCCCCCTTCCTGAGATGACCTGCAGTTTTCTAATACAACTGGTATTCTGCAAAAAAAAAAAACTATGTGGTTTATCGGTGTTGAAGTAGAACAAGAGACGAGTGCACCCCCTCCTAAAAAAAAAAACTGGATCCACCCCTGTGGAGAGTGTGATAATAAAATCTGGCCCCGGTTGTTCAAATGTTGGATAGCGCTATCCACTGAATAGATCACTATCCAGGGGATAAGTCCTAGGGAAACCAATTGCATTATCCACTGGATAGATTTTTATCTGGTGGATAGGGCTATCCAACGTTATAGTTTAGTGTAATAGTGAATAGTGTTCGTATTTTTACTGAGACTTGTTTTTATAGATATGTATTAATTGTTATTAGAAATAAATTATTATTATTATATGGTTGTATTTTACATAATTTTGTGCTGACCTAATGAATTTTTTTATCATGTTAAAATAAAGATTTGATTCACTTCTCTATTGGAAACCCAGTTGGGTGAGATATTGGATCTTTTTTCCATTGCACTAAGTTAAAAACTGGAGGTTGTTATTATTTTCATATTATTCCTTGTCCTTAAATGTCAGTGTTGATTTAATTTTCCATAGTAATAAACGCTTATGTTTTAACTTTTTCTTATTTCTCAGCCGAGCCATAGTTAAGAATTGCGATCTTTTACCATCAACCCCATGGAGCAATGTCCTATTCAATGACTTTTGGGGAACACCACTGACTCACAGTGGCAGTCATAAGTCTTACAGACCGCTGTGTGTGACATCATTTAGAATAAACTACTATGTTGGAGGATTAAATCCATTTGGTTATCATCTTGTGAATGTATTACTGCACACTACTGTATGCTGGCTTGTTGTAATATTATCATACACTTTGGTCCATGCCCATTTTCCAAGTCTTCTGGCAGGACTCCTGTTTGCTGTTCACCCTATTCATACAGGTAAGATTGATACTGTATGCTGACTCCAGCTGATATGATATGCTCATTACATGCCTTTTTTTGAATAAATAACCATAATTATTTTATGTTACGAATGTACTAGGCAGATAGTTTTACTATTAATAAATCATATTATTATAATTTTTTTTTTTACTTATGCTGCTCCTTTATTGCTCATTATTTGCATAACCTTGTTAAACCCTAAATAGACAAATTGCAACTGTATGTGTAAAATACTATTAAATCATATTTAATGTAGTTAACGACCAGGAGCTATGGTCCCGGGTGTTTTTGGCATTCTTTGGTAGCGCGTTGGTCATCTGTAGCGTTGTGCATGACTATGTTTGCGTTTGTAGCGTTTACCATTGTTCGTGAGCTGGAGGGCAGATTCCTGTCCAGCGGTATGTTGCTTTGGCGCATGCGGAGGCCACGTGCCTACGTTGGGTTTGCGTTGTACTCGAAGCTTTGTTAGCGTGGCGTGGCATTCCAGTAGCGTAGCATTTCTCTTGGTTCTGCCCTAGTTTTGGTTAGCTTGGTTTCCCAGTTCGAGTAGCATAGCCTTTTCTCGTGGTTCTGTCAAAGTTTTTTCCGGTCGAAGTGGTTTTTCGTTGCCGTTGTTCGTCTTTTTTCCTGTTGTGGTTCGTCCTCTGCTGGAGAGTTTTTGGTTGTCCTCTGTAATGCCGCGCCCATCTCGCTCGACCAACAACAGCTTATCGGCGGGCCTTCCTACCGAAGACCCCCTTCCATCTACGGCAACGTCTGAAAGTCCTGTGTCGAGTACGGCTTCTAGTTCTTGGTCGCCTCAGTTGGCTGACTCCCTCACCGAGGCTGTGGTTCGGGCAATCGGAAACTCCATTCCCGCCATTATTTCATCGATCCAGAGAAACGCCTCCTCAGGCTTCTTCTTCGGTTCCAGGCGTTTCTGCTAAGCGGGGCTCCACGACCTTTATTTTCTTCAGCGTCCACTTGGTGGGAGTACAAGTGATGGTGTTTCTTCAGTGGCTTCAGGTACGTTTACCCCTCCCGCGTTTGTTCCTACGTTTACGCCAGTGCCGGCCATTACCGTCTCGAGCTCGGCCCGCCCGTGGCTCCTACTCCTCCACTTTCGTATCGCCCGGCGTTACTAGCGGTCTTCAAGCCTTGAGTCTTCGTTGGCATCTCCCAAGTCTGAGAAGGCTTTTATCGTTGGTCCGGGGCATGCCCCTATTCCCTCAAAACTAGTGTCAAAAATTGTAGGTGGCCAGTTTGTCGAGTTGGCAGATTTGTTGTCCGTGAACCTTCGCGCCGTGGAGCAGGAGCCGCAAACGTTCCTCGATGGTAAGCTTGTGGTGTCCTCGTCAAAGCGCAGGCAAGTGGAAATAAAAGACATTTTGACTTGGACGGAAGCCTTTACTATTTTTCAGATGGTGCTGTGCGCGGCTCACCCTCATCGTTGGCCCGATCTCTTCAAGTATAAGCTGCTTATCATTCAAACGGCTCGTCATTTTTCAAGTTCAACCTGGTTAGAGTATGACCTGGCGTTCAGAAAGGATGCGGCTGCCTCTGGCCTCAGTGACTGGTCTAGGATGAACTTAGACCTATACAACTTTCACTTAAGGTCTCCAGCCATGGCCTCACCCCCGCCACCTCGGTCGTCTTCTTCCACGGCATCAGCTCCACTTCCTGCCGCCTCCCGTGACACCAGCCTGGTCCCTCCTTTTTGCCATTCATGGAATGACGGGCAGTGCCGCTGGCCCTTTGGTAGGTGCAAATATCGACACCGCTGCAGTAACTGTGAGGGTGAACACACCCAGATCAATTGTCCATTTCCCAACTCCTCTGGCGCACGATCCCGATCTCCCCAACCCGGGGGGAGAGGGGGACGGTACTGAATGGGCAGTTTTGCCCGGTGAGGCTTGTGTACATAGTGTAAATAGTTTTGTTGCGTCATCAGAGGGGCAGCGTGATCTGCGTTCCTCGGTGAAGCCGTCTTGTTCTGTTACAGTTCCAGTTAGTATACCCAGCGTTGCAGTTTCTGTTCATTCTTTCTCGCCGTTAGCCCCAGCCTCCCAGGTCTCTCCACTACGGCCAGCTCAATTTCAGATAGAACTTCAGCATCATCCAGACCAGGCGGCAGTGGCCTATGTGTTGTCAGGATTACGTGAGGGTTTTCGTATTGGCTTTGAGTCGTCCATGGTCAATCTTAAGTCTGCTTCTTCGAACATGCGTTCCTCCTTCGAACACCCATTTGTGATAGACTCCTACTTGCAGACCGAAGTTTCCTCCGGCAGGGTGGCTGGCCCTTTTTCAGCCCCTCCTTTTCCTTCTCTACACATCAGCCGCTTTGGGGTCATTCCCAAGAACAATCAACCAGGCAAATGGCGTCTCATCCTTGACCTCTCCTCTCCTGTTGGGCACAGCGTGAACGATGGCATTCCCAAGCCTCCCTTCACAGTGCAGTACGTTTCAGTCGATGCAGTTATTGAGGGCATCATGGCGTGGGTTCGCGGAACACTAATGGCTAAGTTCGATGTGGCCAGTGCATACCGGAATGTGGCTATCCATCCCGACGATCACCCCTTGCTGGGGATGCAGTGGCGTGGGAAGTACTTTGTCGATCTGGTTCTCCCGTTTGGGTTACGTTCAGCGCCATTTATTTTCACTTCTATTGCGGACCTGGTTGAATGGATCTTGGTTCATAATTATGGCGTGGACTTCCTACGCCACTACCTGGATGACTTTTTTACCCTTGGTCCACCGTCATCCCTGCTCTGCCACTTCTATTTACTTACCTGTGTTCGCCTTTGCGAAAGGCTTGGTCTCCCCCTTCATCCTGACAAGGTAGAGGGACCGACGACTTGCTTAACTATCCTCGGGATTGAACTCGACTCCGATAGGCTTGAGGCTCGCCTGCCCACTGAGAAAAGAGACCGGATTGTTGCCTTACTTGAAGAGTGGTCCACCAAGCGTTTCTGTAAGAGGCGGGAGTTGGAATCCTTGATTGGCCACCTCCATCACGCCTGCAAGGTTGCCCCACAGGGGAGGACTTTTCTTCGTCGGATGATTGACTTGCTTTGTGCCTTCCGCCTGGACGATCATCCCATCAGGCTAAACCAAGAATTCCGTCGGGACCTTAACCTGGTGGCGGGAGCTTTTTCAAACCTGGGATGGCCTCAGTTTCTTTTGCATGCCCACGTGGGCGCCCGTCCCGGATTTCCAAGTCTTGTCGGATGCTGCAGGGTCACTGGGCTATGGGGCTATTTTTAACACCAAGTGGTTTTGCGGCGCTTGGTCTATGGAGCAACGGTCGTTATCGATTGCGTAGAAGGAGCTCTTCCCCATCGTTGTAGCCGCCGCCTTATGGGGTTCTCAGTGGGGCTCTCGGCAGGTCGAGTTCCTGTGCGACAATGAGTCAGTGGTGGCTGTACTTAAGTCTGGCACTTCACGGGACCACCACTTGATGGGGCTGCTGCGTCATTTATCCTTGCTGGCTATACGCCACTCATTTATGTTTACGGCGTCTTCAGTTGACCCACGCATCTATAAAAGTATACCTGTCAGCAGTACGTTCCCTTCACATCGACCATGGCTTGTCAGACCCTTTCGTCAACTGCCTTCGTTTGCAGTGTTTACTCAGGGGAATTAAGCGGGTTCAAGGTCCAGTATCACCCCGGCGCCTGCCTATCACCCTGGATCATCTGCGGGCGATTCAACATCGTCTGGACTTCTCCAGGAGAGACCATGTGATGCTGTGGGCGGCATGCTGTTTGGGTTTCTTCGGTTTCTTACGAGCTGGGGAGTTCACAGTGAATTCTGCATTTCAGCCTAGTATCCATATGACTGTTGCTGACCTGCAAGCTGATTCCCTGGTGAATCCTTCCTGTTTTAAAGTTCATATCAAGTGCTCTAAGACTGATCCGTTTCGCATGGGCTGTGATATATATGTGGGGCGTGGTGAGGGCCCGGTGTGTCCCATCCGTGCCTTGGGCAACTTCTTGGCTCTGCGTGGCTCTTCTGAGGGTCCTCTCTTTACTTTTTAGTGACGGTCGCCCTCTTACTCGGCAACAATTGTCATCCACAGTTCAGTCTATCTTGCACTCAGCTGGCTATACTGGCTCTTATTCAGGCCATAGCTTCCGTATTAGGGCGGCAACTACAGCTGCTGCTCGGGAGTTCGGATCATCTGATCAAGACCCTAGGCCGGTGGTCTAGTGATGCCTACCAGATTTATATTCGCACTCCAGTTAGCTCCATCATCCACGTATCCAGACAGCTGGCTGCATAGCAGGTATCTGTACTACCTTTGGGGCTGCCGTGAGGGTGGGTGCCTCAGGTTTGGGCCCTCGGGGCCTGGGGCTCTGCAGCCCCGAGCCCCTGCTCTCGGGTTTCCGACCCAGAGGTTCCTTCGGCTTGGCGGGGGGCTCGTGGCTGGGTTGCGGGTTGGTAGGCCTGTGGGTGTTCTTCCGCCTTGGGGTGTATTGCGGTTGCAGCCCCCTGGCCCATGGGCACCCAACCTCCACTTGCGACGCTTGGTGTTAAATACTATTAAATCATATTTAATGTAGTTAACGACCAGGAGCTATGGTCCCGGTGTTTTTGGCATTCTTTGGTAGCGCGTTGGTCATCTGTAGCGTTGTGCGTGACTATGTTTGCGTTTGTAGCGTTTACCATTGTTCGTGAGCTGGAGGGCAGATTCCTGTCCAGCGGTATGTCGCTTTGGCGCATGCGGAGGCCACGTGCCTACGTTGGGTTTGCGTTGTACTCGAAGCTTTGTTAGCGTGGCGTGGCGTTCCAGTAGCGTAGCGTTTCTCTTGGTTCCCCTCCCTCCCTCCGCTTTCTTTCTTATTTATTTAGTTATTTATTTTTTTTCAGGGGTTGGTTCATTTTACTTCCACTGGGCTTCTGGCCTCAGTGTGACGGGTGCTATAATGGGGGGCTGGGCGCGGGGGGGCTCGTGGCTGGGTTGCAGGTTGGTAGGCCTGTGGGTGTTCTTCCGCCTTGGGGTGTATTGCGGTTGCAGCCCCCTGGCCCATGGGCACCCAACCTCCACTTGCGACGCAGGCGTTAAATATATGGTGTAGCTGGTAGTGATAACACACATTGATTGATTGATTGAGAAAATGATTTGCCTGATAATTGGCAATAATTTTGGGAAAAACAAATCTTTATTGTAGTAGTGGTGGGGGTACCCTCTCCTTATTTAAGGCCAAAACTAAGCCCCTTGAGGGCATAATGATTATTTTTTGTTAGCTTGTCTTTAAATAAATAAATTCATAGACTTTATTTGGATAAGAGACTCGTTGGACCATCAATCAAGAAGTAATTAGTATATTATTAGCAAAACTGAGAAATAATTATTAAATTTCTTATTAGTGTAACTGAATAGGCTTTAAATTAATAAGTGTTATGGTTGTTTTTTTGTCTTGTAACACTTAAATATGTAAGGCCATAACATTATTTTTTAATGTTGCTTTGTAGAAGCTGTGACTGGAATTGTTGGAAGAGCAGACATTGGAGCTTGTTTGTTTTTTATTGCATCTTTATTGGCTTATATCAGATCTCAAAAAACTTCTATGCAAATTTCTCCTTTTGGCTGGAGTAACATAAGATGGCATTGGTTGCTGTGTAGTTTAGTGTTCTCTGTTGCAAGCATGCTGAGCAAAGAGCAAGGAATCACAGTTTTAGGAGTATGTGCTGTGTATGAGATCCTGTTCCTCATCAGCAACAAGAAGAAAAAACAGAATCTTTCTGAGTTATTGTATCAGGCAAGTATCACTTTCACAATTTGCTAAACTTGCGTTTAAAGGCCTTTTTAGCTCTGCACTGTGTTACATAAGAAGCTGGCTTCTGATATTTTGCAGTATTTTTGTGGAATTTTGCACACTGTTATTACAGCTGTATGTTGGTTTTATTATTGATATCAAATAGTGTCCAATCATGTAATTAATGAGAAATCTTATAAATAATTGAAAAATATACTGTTTCTTGACAAATAGCAAACTTACACTGTATGGGTTTTTAAGTATAATTGAAACAATGTATACACAGCACGTAAAACTTGAATCCAATTATTACACTCTGAATATAATGACAATACTTGTCCCTATATTCAATATAACAACATCAGCAAGTTTATAGGCTGATTTTGGTGTTCTAAGGGAAAGTTCATTTAATATGACAAGGGGGGGGGGGGATGAAGATATTGAAACTCGAAGCTTGAAATTTTTAGCAGCCCCCCTCGCTAGCGGTTCAATTTTTTAGGAGCCCCCTCCTTGGTAGTCGAAAAAATTTCGGAGCCCCCCCCCTCCTCCTTCAATTCCTTTGCTCCCCTGAAAAAAGATCGCTAGACTGTATTAAATATATTTACCGTTATTGTCTTCAATGGTTTATACTATGACAAACTTGAGATACAGTTGTGATACAATTTTCTAAAGCATTTTTGGGATGAACAAGAGTGTAATAATTACTGAGACTACATTTGTTATATCTGTAAACCACGTGATATAGCTGAGTTGCACGGGTCATTAAATTGTTGAGTTGAAAACCATCCGATCTGTATGATGATGTCATGTGTTGGTTTTGAAGTATACAAATTTTCGAAGCCCCCCCTCCTAGCGCAACAATTTTTTCAGAGCCCCCCCTTCGGGTGTCTAAAAATTTTCGGAGCCCCCCCTCAATATCTTCATCCCCCCTGCCTTGTCATATTAAATGAACTTTCCCTAAATTTTAAATCTTAGAGATACCTCAGTTTGAACTGCATATCATCAGATCTCTTTTTGCTGACCTGAGAAATTGGCATAAACGTTTCATTTGAATTAAGCTTTTTGTATTCTGTTGATTACATAAAATTAAAACAGTACACATATACATTTAAACTACACAAGTTTCTTCTATAATTCCCTAAGTAAAGTCAATAATTATGGTACATCAAATAATTTGCTCAACGAAGTAATAGTTACAGTAGTTCTATTTTGTCTTAATTGCAGGCTCTTCAGAGTGGTTGTGCTTTGCGTCTTTTGTCAGTATTTATTACTGGAGTCGGACTTTTATCTATGCGACTGTCAATCATGGGGAAGCAAGCTCCAGAGTTTTCTCCGTCCGATAATCCTGCTGCCAACTGTGAAAGCAGCCTGACAAGATTTTTAACTTTCTTATTTTTACCAGCATTTAATTTTTGGCTGCTCCTTTCTCCCAGAGTACTCAGTTTTGATTGGTCAATGGATGCAATACCCCTTTTGGAATCCTTTCTAGATCCACGCTGTTTGGTAATTGTGCTGTTTTATGGATTTTTTGCATTTTTGGGATTTTATTCTCTAATCAAATGTTTTCATTGCTGTGAAACAAGTGTGGAAAGGAACATTGACAACAAAAAATATGTGTCCAAAGAAAAATTTTATACAGGTCATAGAAAAGACCAAATGTTTAGGAATGGAAAGAAGCATGTAAATGGAGCCACAGATACTGAAACAGTCTCACTGAGTCATGGTCATTGTATTCATCTTAACAATAATTTACCAATGAGAACATTCAATGTTGGCAGTATAAATTGTTTGCTCCAAACAGTGCTTTTGTCTCTTGCAATATTAACACTTCCTTTCTTGCCAGCCAGTAACCTATTTTTCTATGTGGGGTTTGTAGTAGCAGAGAGAATTCTGTACATTCCAAGTGTTGGGTATTGTTTGTTAATAGCAGTTGGAGCTGATATAATCTGTAAGGTGTGTAATGTAAAGCAGCGCAAGTTCTTTATTGGCTTCTTAATGGGCATGTTGGTACTACTCTGTGCAAAAGCTGTTCAAAGGAACATGGACTGGCAAAATGAAGAAGCTTTGTACAGGTATTAAAACCTTTGATGATGGGATTAACCTCCTCTGCTTATTAAGGATGAGTATGCATTTATCATGTACATCGGTTAATGTATGTGTATGTCTACAAGTGGAATTAAAGTAACGTACCAGTAGATGTACCGTATTACAGATGTAAGGGGTTGCTTTTGAGGTTATTGAGGCAGATTGGGATATGAATACAGTAACAATGTGTCAGTATCCCAGATAACTTTTTTCTCCTATTATATTGTTAGTGGTAATTTTGCGAACTTAGCTTCACATCTGTAAGTGTCAGCACCTGGCTATTATTGTCCTCTTTAATGTTGTCCCTTAAAATTCATGTCATCTTTCATGATCTTTACACCTGACAGCCCTTAGTTTTATAGGCAACAATTTTTTTTAGAAATGCAGGGAAAAGGTTAGGTTAGGTTATGTTAGGTCCGTTATAAGTTGTTGCTGTACTAACAGTTGTGTTATTAATTTTTGTTTCTTTCCCGACTTTAACAGATCTGGAATCTCTGTAAATCCTCCTAAAGGTAACATCTCATTTTCAATTCTGTTGATTTATTACCTCTTTTATTGAAAGTTTAACAGCTCCTTTAACAGGAGTAAATTATTGTTTTTATGAAGAGTCACACAGCTGATCAATATTAGTTCTGATGAAAAAGCTAGTCATTTTTTAAGTGTTTCTAATTTGCCTGTAATTTGAGGACAATATATAAGAGGCTTCAAAAGGAATATTTATGATTTCACTTGAAATGAGTAAAAGACAAGTTATTGTGGAAGTTAATTCCTGAGGCCTAATTTATTGATCTCAAAAATTAATTTACCTTTAAGAGTTTACAAAAGGTGAGAGTATAATCTCATCAAATGGCTAATTTGTGGTTCATTAGACAAGAATATTTTGCCATTGGATAAGCCGTTGGCAAACAAGTATTTACCACACTACAATTCAAAGACAGGTACCTCAACTAGAGAGCTGTTATCTATTTTGTAAGGGCTTAAGGCTGTCAAAAGAACTTCACTTTCCACCTTCTACTTTCAGGAAGGTGAAACTATTTTCTTTTGTGTTTCTCAGCATGGTCAAACCTAGGAAATGTACTGAGTTCTCAAAACAGAAAACCAGAGGCAGAAGATGCTTACAAGAAAGCACTCTCTTACCGGTCCAATATGGCTGACACCCACTATAACTTGTAAGTGTACTGTACACACTTGCATATGAAGTGCTCACCATTTGCATAAAGTTCTTGTTTCAAGTTTCCTATCAGGGTCCAGTGCATTATTGAGATCCTGGCAAGCTGTGAAAACAGTTCCGGAAAACCTGTGAATATTAGAAAATATTGAAAAACATGGCATATGGGATCTTCGCATTAAAATAAATTATATATTCATACTCTTTTAGGCAAATGCATGGCTGCATCAGTGTGTGGCTAACTGTGTAGAATTTCAGGCCACCAATTTGCCTCTTTTTTCAATTGTCTCATGTCATCCTGGCTATGTCATGCGATTGTATGATGCAAAAATGAATGAATGAACCAGGTATATTCTGATTACCTACTCTTCACTGTTCTGTACAGAAGAAATGACATTTTACTTACAGACCACCTAGATCCACAAACACCAGAAAAACTTGCGGTAGTTTATTCACCAAATGTCAAATGTCCACACAATTACACCGGGCTGAATTATAACCCTGATGCAAATTAAAGAGAATCTTAGGTTCAAAATTAGCTTGAAATTTATGAATCGTAACATCTTAGCTTCAGATATAATCAATTATTAGTAATTCTCCTAGATAATTTTGCACTCTCCTATAAAAATGATGGGGTTACTTTCCAGGTTTGTTGGGGGGTGGGGGTACTTCTTTATTTGGCCTAAAAGGGGTACATGTATGTGCCACTGAACAGGGTATAGTTTTCAGGGTCTCAAGTCTTAACTGGGCATACAATTTGACTATGAACGGGGTGTCTTTTTTGATGGGGAGCAAAATTGGAAAGAGTGTAAAGGTTAGCAATGAGCAGTACCACCATTTTTTCCCCTAAAAAATCTTATTTCTTGACCCAATTCTGTATGTGAAATGAAATGAGTCACGCTCACCAAATAAGGCTCTTACAGGGTAGCAAAATGAGCAGTTTTTGTCTTAAATAAACACCTCTACCCAAAATTCCTTTGAGGGAATACCCATGGGATAAATCTTGGAGAAAAATGTGAGATTTGGACTTTTGAAAAATATCCTGTCTTAATACAAATCAGTTTATGTATAGTTAACCAATCCAATGTTTGTTTCAGGGGAATTCTTTTAGCAGAAGAGCAGCGATATAGTGAAGCAGTTCGTAGTTATGAAAATGCCATCCATTTCAGACCTAGATTAGCTGGTGAGAAATTTGCTATAGTGTTTATTCAAATGTTGTGATCATTGCCCTAAAAATAGAAATGATATGGTTTTTAGGAGGTTTGAGTTTAGGTTCTTTATGGCATGACTTTTTTACAGTGGAACCATGATGTGCTAAAGGGCCATAGGACTGGCAAAATAATCATGTTTACTACAGCAGGATCTCATTGAGGTTCTTTCCTATATATTTATTATTGCTGGGTTGAAAACTAGTTATTGTTCATTACACCAAATTATAGGCGTTTGTTATTTCAAGATTCTGCAGCTCTCTATTGTTTTGATTTCATAGCTGCCCATCTTAATTTGGGGATTGTGCTGTCAGATATGGGCCTTAAAGAGCAAGCTGTCCAGGTAGATATGTATGATATGTTTTGTTGTTTGTAGTGTTGCTTGAAAACAAAGACCCCTAAGACCCCCTACCAAATGACTTTCTTAGGGGTCCTGTTGTTATATTTTTAATTTTTTTTTTTTCTCTGTCTGATTTTCACCAGGACATGTAGATTCACCTTTTCTCTTGCTTTTCATCTTGACAGCTGTTTACAAGAATGATAATGAACTTATTGGTTAAAATGATTGCTAATGAGATTTGTTCGTGTTTGTTTGTTTTTAGTAATTGGCATTGTTCAACTCTGTCCGTATAAATCTCAGTCTGAATCAGTCAATTTCATGCTAACCAGCTGAGATCAGGCCAAAATTTAGCAGCTTCCATAAATTCCCTCCTACGTGGCTGAGCTAGAACTTCATACACAAAATGAAACAAAGATAGCTCTAGCCTGATCCCAGGTTAATTTCATGCAGTAATCGGGGAAAAAAAATTACGTTACTGCTGCTTTTAAGATTTTTAGGAATGCATCAACTATAAGTGGACATGGACTGAAGGACCCTAAACATCATTCACATTCAAGTAAGTGACTGCATGGTTTGTATAAGTTAAGTTATCTTGTTTAGCAATGTGTTAAAAACTAAGAAAGAAAGGTCAGGAATTTTAAGTGTAATAAAATTTGGGGGGGGGGGAGGGGGGATACTCCATCATTTCACCTAAACAGATATGTGCTGCTAAACAGGGAATGGTTTAAATCAGGGTTGTGAGTCTTAAACTGGGTCTACAGCCAGTTTCACTATTTGGCATCTTTAACAGGGTGTGTTCTAAGCTGCAGATAAGACGGGTTAGTGGTCTACATGGCACCCAAAAATTTTTCCAAGAAATTCAGTTCCATGATATTAGTTTGGAAATTACCTAAGTCAGTATGTTATTGCCTCGCCTCTCTTTCTTTATTCTGGGATGAGAATATTTCGTAGTTACATATCCTTACTTGCATACTTTTTATGTGTTTTAGTTACATCAATTAAGTACAACCTTGGAAGAATCTTGGCAGAGCTTGGAAAACTAGAGGTTAGTGACTTAGCTCAGCTGAACACACCATTTCTATTATGGCTGTAGGTATACAATACAATCATACTTAAGTTTTTTTGGGCACTTTGCTGCTCTAGACTGAAAATAATATCTGTAAAATACAAACATAAACAGTAGGACAATTTACAGTTTTGTTTGTCACAAGGAAGTGTTAGTTTTCTTGTTACGTAAACAAGACAGGTAAAATTGAACCATTAATACTCTTTAAGGAAAAGTCCAAAAACTTCTTCTCTTTATTTTATCATTAATTTTTCTTATTAATTGTCAGTAAGTGTTGCTGGGTTTATCAGCAATATTGTTAAGATTAAACTTTACAGTTTTAGTCATTCCACATATATATGTATTTCTCCATTAATTATTGTCATTGGCTGTTTTTAATGACCCTGGCAAATTCTCCATAGTGAGCTAAAACAGTCCAGATTTGGAAGATTTACATAAATGATTCAACCCGTAATTTACATATTATTGTTTGATTGATGTCAATGGTATGGTAAGGAGTGTTGCAGACAGTAGAAGCTTGGAAGGGTGTAATAGCTACTAGAGAGTGCAAAAAAGAGCCTGCATGAAGATTTGAAATGAATGGCAAAGATGAAGAAAGCAAATTAATAAGTGATTGTAAAAGATAAGATAGTACAGTTGAACCTCCATTCAGCAGCCACCTATGAAGCAGCCAGTAATCAAAGTCCCAAAATAATTCTAGAAACGAATGGGAAATAAAAACTCTATTAAGCGGCCACCTCTGTTAGGCGACTGCGGCCATCTTTTGGTGATCTCTATGAGAGTTTTCCCATTGTTGCCATGAACCTCTGTGAAGTAGCCAGCAAGCACTTGACAGACTCAGTTGGCTTTACTTTACAAATATGATGAAGGAAAACAGTCTGAGATAGAGGGTGACGACCAATTTTGGACCAAGAATGCTTCCCCGGTTGCATTTTTGTTTTAAAATAAAGTGATGTTTCTGCTAAGGAATATGCTAATTCATGACCTGGTTTATGACAAACCTCTATTGAGTGGCCAACCTCCATTAAACGGCCATTTGCTGGTATCCCAACGGTGGCCGCTTATTGGAGGTTCAACTCAAAGGGTGTTGACTGCAATTCAGATAACATCTACAAGAGTACATAAACAATTCTGTTTGTGTTAGAAAACTGCCTAGAAACTGGCAAGCATTTCTTAGAAAGAATTTGTTTTATTTTATATGGAGTTAAGATTTTTTTGGTGATTTTTAAAGAATGACAACATGAATTTTAAATTTGGCAAATGCAGATCTCAGAGGCGAAAGTGCCTTAGCCTTTTACTTTGACAGGTAACTCACTCTTTGAACTGCATAATTTTTTGTCTTATTGGAAGTAATATATCGAGCATGAGACACAGTGTTTCGTCACCAGATGAAACACTGAGAAGAGAGTTGAAAATACGAGGTGCAGTGGAATATTTTTGATGAACTTTTAGGTGTTTCATCAGGTGATGAAACACTGTGTCGAATGCTTGATATTACTTCTCAAACAAAATGATTTTAGAGGGAGAAATTTAGGATGCAAAAATGAGCAGTTTTTCATCTGATTTCCAAACACTTATAAAACATTAATTTCCTTCGTATTCTCTTCATGAATTATTAAGGATTTTGAGAAGTGCTTTCAGAAAACTCAGAGCCACACTGATCAACTTCATGTGGACATGTTATAAGACTGTCAAAAACATGGACTTGACTTCTGCTTTTTTTTAATACCAGGAAGCCATCAGTGTTTACCTGGATGCAGTGGAGACCAGACCACCTCATTATGAACCTCACAGCTTGTTTAATATGATAGGTGGGTTGGCACATCTCATATGGCATTTTGCTATGCATTTGTATGAACAATAAATTTATCTGTGCTAAATTCATAACAGTTTGCATTAGTTCAAAACTTTTTTGCAGAAAAAATTGAAAGAGGGTTAAAATTGATCTCTTCCAAGAATCAATCTTCAATCATAACCCAGGTTTTCTTACACAATAATTTATTGTGGTAGCAGCTTTGTTATGAGTGATATCCAGAAAATATCGATAATTTACCATGGGTGGCGTCTCTGAATTCCTTGGGCAGTAAGGGGGTACATTGGTCTAGAATTCTGAGGGCATGGGGTGGGGGGGGGTGCCATATGGCTGACCCTAAATCTTAAAAATTGGGGTGGGTGGTTGAAGGTTTAGCCCTTCACTTCCACATGGTGCAAAGTAGGGATTATGTTAAAGATTTCAACAAATATGTTTAGAAATGTGTGTGGTTAGATAGGAAACAAGGGTCAAAATTTTTGTGTAAGAATGCTTCTGCTTTAATTTCTTTGTGATTGTAAATCTGGCTAGTGTACTCACTATCCGTCAGCTTTTAGATAATAAGTAAATGGCTCAGTGCTCTTTAATTTGCAATAGAATACATACCAGAAGAAGTTTACCAAAACAAAGAGAAGGCGGTTACTCTCTGTCCTTGATAGTCAATCTAGGGCTTTGGCACCAAGTTTTCGTAGTAAAACAGTGTTGGTATTTATGATAACCTGGCAATGTTACACTTTCACTTTTAACTTAGGTGAGGCATACTCTGCAGCAGGAAATAATGTAGAGGCAGAAAACTGGTACAAAGCATCACTGAAGAGCAAACCAGATCACATGGCTGTGCATCTTACGTATGCCAAACATCTGGCCAAAATAGTAAGTACATGATCGGTCTTAATATCCATTTTATGTACTAGCAAATTTTTTAGTTACTGTCCCGGCGATCTATCAAGGGATGACAGCCTCAACAAATTAATATAAGACTTTAGATAGAACAGTAATTTCTCTAGGCCATGTAGCTAATGTGCTGGATTTTTTAATTCTTTGTAAATCTTCACCACATTTCTTCCTTTTTTCTACTTTCACATGTCTACTTTGGGGAGCAAGGGTGGCGCAGTGGTGAGAGCGCTCGCCTCCCACCAACGTGGCCCGGGTTCAAATCCTGGCGTCTATGCCATATGTGGGTTGAGTTTGCTGTTGGTTCTCTCCTTTGCTCCGAGAGGTTTTTCTCCGGGTACTCTGGTTTTACCCCTCTCCTCAAAAACCAACATTTTCAAATTCCAATTCGACCAGGAATCAGGTAGACTTAGAACCACTATGTGGATGTGCTACCTGCAAATCGTTATTTATTTATTTATTTTTATTTTACTTAGTTGACAGGGTTCTGGGAGGTTGGGAGGGCAGGGGGTGGGGTGCTGTGGGATGTTACAGGCTCAACTGTGGAACTGGAACTATTCTTAGGATCCTGAAATAATTTGGGAAAGAAGGTACTACCTTTGTCTTGCAAGTTTCTAGAGACCCTTAGTGGCTCAAATGAACATATAGAAATGGTAGGCTGCCTGTCTCTAGCGGAAGATACATGAAAAAGTAATACGAAAATATTATCCTCAATAATTAATACATCAATACTGCTGAGATTTTCAGTTTTCCATAAATTTTATGTAGCCATTCATTTCAAAAATTACCTGTACTTGATATATAACAGAGACTGTGTCTCAATAGGGAAAGGTTGCTGAGGCAGAATCATGGTTTAAAAAAGCACAGAAATTGGATGAAAATGATCATGCTGCATGGACACACTATGGTAGGCTTAATGTTTCGTTTAGTCAACATTTTGACAGGCATTTGAAGAGATTTCTCGTGTATGTTGACCGCAATTCCCACATAAAACCTGTAAAAGTATTAATTTTAGCAGTTCTCATATCTTAGAGACCTCTCCTAAAACTGGAAGGTTAAAGTATAATTTGCTCAGAATAAGACTTTTCTTTTTGCACTACTAAGGTATGAACGTAGGTCCATACCATACACTACTTTACACTCTTAACATATTTATATTCTTCCTCTTCCAGTTCGAATATATGATATAACTGGCATATACATGTATTCATTATTTCAGACTCACCCATTTGATAGGTTTATAACAAACCAAAGGAATGAACGCTCCCAGTTAGTTTTTTCAGCTTAATTGGTTCAAGCTCTGCACCAGAAGTGCAGTCAGGCAGAGGTCAAGGGTTCTAACCCCTTACAAGCTTGAATTTTTTCAATTTTTTTGCAACTGCCAAAGTTGCAATAAAAAATAACTGCTATGATCTTTACTTTTGAAAGTAGCTCTGACATTTCGAATGCTAACCCTTTGTCGGAGCTAATCATTTGCCAGGAACAAGGGTTCTTTACGGTGTCAAATTTACTTCATCAAATAACTCAGTTGATGAAACCAAATTTCAGCATTTTACTCCTAACCAAAGCAGCACGGCAGTTCCTGGTGAAAGTAACCCACCTTACAACAATTGTCTTTGTCAATAGGTTGATAGTGTACTAAATTTGTAATGTAATTGCTCACCTTAGAAAATCATTGTGTGACGTTTTGTTGTTTTATTTCTCTCAGGTCAGTTTCTGTCTGATCAAAATCGAGTGGATGAGGCCGCTAAGATGTTTACAAAGGCCATGCAGTTAGCTCCTAATGACTTTGACATTGCTTTCACAGCTGCTGGATATCTCAGGTAACAGACTGGACTCATTTTCATTTTGTTTACCCACTGCTAATCAATAGGTGTGTGGTGAAAGGTGACATTCATGTCCTGCCCATGACTCGCGAGTGGACTGAGCAAGTTATTAGTGCTACTAACCATGAAGTAACTAGGTTAGTAACAAGAATCATTCCCCCATACAATGTTGGTCATTTTTTTCTGCACACTGTTGGGAAATTCTTTAGTGTAGCGACCACTCTTCGAAAAACTACCATTGCAAAACCATGGCATATTGCATATGCAGCAACTTCTAAAAACCCTCGGAGAAGTCTCCCTTCGCCAGTAACCGCCCATACGCATGAGGCGCGTGGTTCACAATTATTTATACTAGGAGCCCCTTTATACTGCTGTGGTTCTCCCCAGTGCATTAGACCAGGGATGAATATTTGAAAGGACGAGTGGTGCCAATCAATAGTAATCCAGGTTTAGTCGCCGTAACAGCTCAAGCTAACGTAGGATTAGGGGTCTTGAAGTCAAGAAATGTGTTTGTCGGTGAGGGACGAGGACCTGCTTCCAAACGTTTTGTGTTTTTTTTTTTCTCTTATCTCACGTTCATAGACAAATTGGCGACAACAACAGGGCAGAGGATTGTTACAAGATCGCTTCTAAATTGAAACCACAGGTACGTTTATCGAGATAATAAAGCTTGAATGGAGACGCTGTGTGGTATTGATAGCAATACAGGTTTCAGTAATACAGTAATTGTTTTACAGAGGCGGGCTGACGTCTTTACTGTTCTTTTATGATACTCTTTATGAGTTAAAAATATCTAAGACTTGAGTTGAAGAAATGCAATGTGTATATAAGTAGGTAATAACTTACCAACATTAGGCAAAACCTAGCTTGGGCGATGCATATTTAATTCGTTCACAGAATCCTGTAGCACATATGAATCTTGGAGCCATGTTACACATGCAAGGGAAACTTGATGAAGCGGAGAAGAGCTACATGAAAGCACTTGAGCTTCGTCCAGGGGACCAGCTAACGGAAGAGAATCTACGCAAGCTGCGGTCTTTAAAAGCAAAACGAAATACGAAAGTTAATATCGCTTGAGAACGTGAACAATTTCTCTAATTTGATAATCGTATTATTGTGTTGTAAGAAATCCATAGTCCACCTTAAAACGGTCCTTCCCTTCAATATAGTTACGTCCTATTGACTTTTAAGATCTTGTTTTCCCCAGCACTCACAATTTCCAAAAGACAACTTCTACTGAAGTTGCATATTAAGCCCTCCACAACCCCCCTCCCCCCCCACACACACACCCCCACAAAGTATTGTGTACAAAACGTAAGGTATAACCTTAAAGGTGGCTCCGTAATTAATACAAGAGCATTTAGCTGTGACAAATTTTCCGTCATAACTTTTTCAATTTTAACGCGATGGCTGCGAAACTTTGCAAAAAACAACAGATGTCATTCGGCAATAATACGAAATATTCCGATTTCATTGATGGTAAATATTTCTTGAGAAATTTGCGCTTAAAAGGACCCTATTGTTCAAAGAAAATCGCCTCTGGTAAAAAATTTTGCTGATATTTTTTACTGAAATTTCTGGTATCGGCTTTAATTGATAGAATAAATATGGCAGAGGAATTTCAGAAAAATCGTTGGAGCAGAAGTCCGTAACTAAAAGTCGCTCAAAATTCAGCTTTGAAATTGTTTTGGAATTTCAAAAATAAATTACTATCAGGAAGAAGGAGACATCAGTTTCAATTTTCGGGACAAGTAAATTCAGTGTTTGCTAACTCTGAATACGGAAGCCGATTGCCTATGGTGCTATTCTTTAAAAGGTACTTTTCAGTTTTAGAAGCACTATAAATTGCTCCAAACTTTGCTCTGACGTCGAATGACTTGTTCCTCGACATTTTTAAAATATCCCTTGGCAGTTTTGGTTCAAACTCCTGTTACATACATTTTGATCTATTGCAATGCATCCTCAACGGCTTTTCCTGCTGTACGTTGTTTGCAATTCAGGAAAAAGGTATTGGGATTGTACGCTACCTTGTATCGAAGCTCAGATAGAACTGTCCAGCACCTTTGTTTATGACCAGAAATTGAGCACGAGCGGCAGATCTGCGAGGAATTCGGACCTCAGCCAGGAGTCTATAATGATGCTTTAAGATGACTGGGCGTTACAAGAATCGTCCGTAAAGAGTGGAACCGGTATGATTTTGATCGTTTGTTAAAATAGTGCAGTATTTCTTTCGAAAAGTAGCACTGATGAAAAAGACATGTAATTAAGTAGTTGTCCGCAAGTGTACCATGCATGGTATACAACGTCAAATGTTTAACATTATAAAGTCAGTTTGGAGAAGTAAGTTATTAATACTGTATTAGTTTTGTTTCAACATTATGACGTGTTTTAAATAGTAAACATCACACAAAGTGAAGATGGTCCTTTTATATAGCCTATAATAATAAGGTATTTCTTAAAGTTACATTGTTAACGTTTTCTACCGTTTTTACGTTTCATAAAAAAGTCATGTTTGAACTAAACAATGTATTAAAATTTAAGTTATTGAAAATGGACTGTTTTAGCTGACTTTGTTCATGTAGTGACATAGTTATTGTCGTCTTTATTGTCATCTAGCCTCATGCCTTTTCATTGGATATTTTTGCATGAGCTTTGGATGCGACGACTTTGTCTTGTTTTGAACCTTCGCCCATGAAAATCCTGTCGTCCCGACGAGCTACCCCTGGGTCTTGGGTAAGATTTCCTCAGAGCGCCATGAGATTAATTTTGTTATGCATGTAGCAATCTTAAGCAGTTTCTATGAATAGAGTAAAAACATTAAGCCTAATAAATGTATAGGTCTCTGCGGAAATCTTGTTACCTTACTGGTTTCTAAGTCTTAAATTGTTGAGTCTGAGTGGTTTCTGAAGGGTCTACCTTTATGAGCCTTATTAAAGTGAAGAAGTCTTTAAATAGAGTTCTAAGTTGTATTAAACCCACTGTAAAGCATAACCCTCTTACATTTATTAAACCGGAAGGTATTTTTTACAGGTCACTTTCCGCAGGTCAGAATACAGGTCACCGTGTCAAAGATAAATGTGGTAGTTAATTTTTTATCTCAGGTAATTTTTCTTGTTCTTTTGTTTCAACTTCATTAGCATACATTACCATACCCAAAAACAAAAGAAAAACAAACTACCTGAGATACAAAATTAACTACAACATAAATATACCACCAAATGTGTCTCCTAGCCCCAATCCCTATCCAAAATGTTGTTTTCGATCAAGAAGAAACTATTTAGTTTAGTTAATTACTGTAGCAATTAAAAAGTGACCTGTAAAAGAAACCTCTCCCTGATTATTAAACTTGTTCGTGAAATACTTCGTTTTAAAATGTTACTTCGTAAGTTAAACACGACGCTAAAACCAGTGAAATTTCAGAGAGTGATACCTTACCCTTCTTTTCGTTATGTGAAATGTTGTTTGACCCTGGTTCAATCTCCGCAGTGGAAAGCAAATTACCGGTCGTAAGATCTTCTGTACGAATTTTTAGCGTGCAGCTGATATAGCCGTTCTCCTTACTCATGAAGGACGTTTGCAAACAGCTGTAAATATTTTCCGAAGGCGCAACAGTCACACCCTCACCTGAACACTGCTTTGACATTACAAATTTTCTGTCTCGGAATCGCTCGACATTGCTTCTTCCAACACGCGCTACGAACAACTAATTGGAAATGCAATTTTTCAAACCAGGGCATAATTTAACAATGCCCCAATGCCACGTTGGAACCTTGAAAAACAAAACAAATTTTTCTGCGCCCGAGTATTTCTGGGTCCCTTGGGAAATCCTTCCCGCGTTCTTTGGGTACAGAGGTGCGGGGCTTTTTACAGACTACAGAGGAAAAGGTACAATTTCGGATGAAATAATGTCATGACGTCATTTGGTCAATAAGCTTTTTTTGTAGAAAAATTGTCAATTTAATTTAAAACCGCTTAAACTGTTTTCTGACCAGCATCTTTGTGTAATGATCTGCATAGCAGATTTTGGTTTAGAAAGTTTGTGCTTGATTCTACAATAGTACACAGTATACCAAGAGATCTCTTGATAGTACATAGTTTTCAACTTGTCGACCATTAAAAGAGTGGTTTCTAGAGATAGGTGCCCTAAGGTCTAGATATGTGAAGTAATAATTACCCTCAGCTCATCACACATTACGCTTCGTCTAGCCTCACCCATATTACATTTGGCTCAACAGAATTTAAAATTAATTGAAGTCTTGCTTACCTTTCAAACACCAGGTTTTTGTTAGAAAAAAAAAGCTTAAAAAGCGGTCAGGTTTCTCCCTACGCTTAGCATCTTCTGTGGTCTCTGTGTTGTGGACTGTGCTTCTCCTTTGCTTGATTATTTTCACTTCTTTACGAGGAGAGCTCTCGAGAAAAAGCTTCAATAGTTGAATGACCTTGAAGCGCGGGCGCTGCGAGATCCATAAAAGGCGGGAACCTTGGCATGAATCTCACGCAGCGCGGACGTTTGATTGGACGATTGGCATGTCAAAAACATCGTTTGCTCCGACAGGAATCCGAGTTTGCTCCTCCGATTGGCTAAGAACTTATTTGTGCGATGACGGTTTTCGGCATAGCTTTTCAGCGAGTTTAGTCAAAGCTCTGACTCGCACGTAAGCGACCATCTCGGGTATTGGTCTGAGATCAGCAGGAAGTAAAATAAATCCTTCATTCAAGTTTTGACTGAGAAGTCGCTTTCCGAAAGTCAGAACAGGTCGACGGGACCGGTCATTTGGAAAATGAAATGAGCTGTTTTTGCTTAAAACCCATCAACCCGATGCATATAATAGTACCATAAACATAGATTGCAACTCAAATTTGAAGAAATCAGATGAGTGAAACAAGCTCTATAAAAACAAAACGAAATAGATAACAATACTGTACTGTGAAACTTATCAAATAAGTTCGCCAAGTCACGTTTTTTAATGTAAAAATCGAAAAATTTGTGAGTGGCAATTCGAGGCAATCTTTCACATTTCTAGTGTCTGGCATGTTGGGTAGTGGAAATTAATTACAAGTGTCCGTTTAATAGAGGTTGGCAACAACAGAAATGACAATTTCAGGTACTTTTTAGTTGTCCGCGTCCGCTTAATAGAGGTGTCCGCGTAATAAAGGTTTCATTTAAAGAACAAACGGGGTTTAACGACGGACACCATTCGCAGTTATGGCAGTAGAGAACTTCGTCTGTATTTCGAACTGTATATCCCACATTGGAAATAATGATTATAACACGTCATACGACCAGGCAGCCTTTTTCCTTTCCTATGTGATTTTTAAAGAACGAAAGACAAGATAATACCACCGACGAAGATTTATTCAAAATCATCACCAATTATAATACTAAAAAGTAAAAATATAGTTTTATGACAAGAACAATCAGGGATTAGATCTACCTACCTGCTAATATTATAGACCAAACGTCGTTCAAAAACACCGTTTTCCTGATCCTGACACTAACAATAATATTTTAACTAGACTTTGTATTATATTTTATAGATGACTACTTTTTGAAAAGTGTCCGCCATCATACACGAAATACTCTATGACGTCACCCGTGTATCTGTACTCTAATTCTATCTAATAGATCATACCTCATAACTGGATCATTGTATAATTGAATATTCTCGAGTTTTGGTGTCAAACTTTACAATACAGGATTACTCCAACAAAATTGTAACTAAGCAGTCATAAACCGGCCATTGAAAAAGAGCACTATTTGAGACCGTTTAAGACATGCGAAGAAAAGATCTGCCTAATTTGTAAAAAAGAAATGGAGGATAAATATCACTTTTTAACGTTATACCATACTTACGAGGAAAAAAAATTATTTTCTATTATCGAGGAAAAGAGTATAGAATACCAACAACCAGAATGTCCATAAAAGATGTAAACGCACATCCTAAAAAAGCATGTGTGCGATTGCTTCGACATCAAAGACGAACAGGAAGCTAAGTATTGAGTTAATACCGTATACCTATATATTTATATTTTCATATCATATTAACCGTTACGAAACTCCGCGAACTGCTAACTAATTTGTAACTTAAGTTATTTGGATGAACGTGATTTACTAGTTCGGTATATATATGACTCCAAATAAACATGGTCTTATCTTCCAGACTTTATTCTAGGAATTAGTTAATGAGGGCCCCATTGGCCCGGTCCCTCTCTGAAATTGTAGAACTCAGTCCTTTTGAAGCCACAAGGCCCAAGGTATTTGACCTAGTCTCTATTTTCCTTTTTCTTGGCGGTTTGTCTTCTTTCCAATCCTTTTGTCCACCACATCTATCGCTAGATTATTTTCAACAAGTATCTGAAGGGGGGGAGGGGGGGGGTCTAGAATTTGCTTCAAAAATTGCAATTCTCTTTGAGTTACCGAAGTTTTAAACGATCAATCTCTCACATTTCAAAAAATGCGATCTCACTTTGCCACTGGATTCTTACGTCAGTCTACGAAATTGACGGTACTAAATTTGCTGCGTTTTACATTGAGTTCTTTATTTCGCTGATCGTTTTCAGACCCCATTTGCCGGAAAATCCCGCAGTGAATAAGCCCTGAGTGGGCGCAACATTCAAAACTATGACGTCAAAGAAAGGTAAAACAACAGTATTTGCAAAAGATAAGGAGAATATTTCAAAGCCATATTTCACTGTAGCCCCCAAGCAGGCGTAGAGTCGGACACATAACCCCCGTAAAAACCTCTATATAATTTAGCAGAGATAAAATACAAAGAAAGAGTGCATTAACTGATTATTTTATCGAGTATTGCCCATGCTTTCACTCCGTTTTAAAAACCAAAACACTGCGAAAAAAAGGAAAGCAGGCGTTTGTTGCTTAATCCCGCGGAGAAACCCGAAGCATAATTTTCCCAGAAGGACAAGTGAGAACAGCACCAACGACAAAATCCAAAGGAACCTGCAAAGAATGGAAAAAATAAATGGTTTTGGCGACATCTATGGTCTAACCAAAATGCCACGTCCACTCCTCCCCACGATATCGAGATATCGTAAATGATCCCACAGACGCCCTCTCTCAAGTAAACGCCTCTTGTTTATTAACCCCCACCCCCCTCCCCCTGCTAAAATTTCGGTTTGTATTAGACGCCCCTCTCTATTAAGCTTCCCCTGTCTAATAGACACCGCGCATGACTGTGCTTAAAGTGAAATGGTGAAGTAGAGCAAAATCATTCAATTTACTCCGCGCATTGCGCTTTTTACTGAACAGTCCGCTAATGGTGATATATTCGCAGAAATCATATTTAGTTTTGTGCAGTTTGTTATGCTTACTAGAGTAAATGCCTCTCTCTCAAATGCCCCGTCTCTCAAATGTCCAGGTGTATTTTAGATCATTTACCGTAATAGAGAGGCTTAGAAACACGTTGGCAAACGTTAAAGTCAGTTTGGTAGTACGTGATAAAAGCTCTAACTTTATTGCTCAAGAAAGCTAAACTGAGGTCATCATCCAACTGGCCTTTTGTTAGCTCTTACGAAAAATTCTGGGCGGATTTAATCGGAACGAAACGTTTCATTCGGCACATCTGTTTTGCTTCTGGAACAAGCTCAGAGATTAAACTCTGTTTCAAAACTAGCCACACTTACCGCCGTCTTCTCTGTGCGCTCAATCTTGAACTTCTTCAGTAGTTTCACTAGAGTCAGTTTGATTTCCAGCAAAGCAAACCGCATTCCAACGCAGTTGTGGGGCCCAAATCCAAATGGCATGAATGAATAAGGATGCCGCTTAGCTTTCTCTGCCTCAGAGAATCTGAGAGGAAAAAAACCGCCAATATGTAGTGTTATAAGGACAGAAACATATATAGCGGATGCGAGGTGGTCGAGCCTCGGACTTCGAGCCTTGCCACAAAGTTATTTACTTAGACAAGAAACCTTTCTTCACTTTCTCTCTCTCTCTCTTTACTGTACGGCGTTTTTCCGGGCCTTCTCGGTCAACGCATTCGATGACGTATCCGAGGCGAACGACCCGAAAAGTATCGACCGCGCGGAATAATGAGGTCTTCCTTCGCAGAGGCTGCCGCTGGGTATTCCAATAAAGATGGAAGCATTAAAAAAAAAAAAAAAAAAAAAAAAAAAAAAAAACCGGTGAGCGAGCTATGGATGATGGGAAGAAAGAAAACGTGGGAGCTTCTCTTCCACTCTTTCCCCTTCCCATCGTTCCACGCGCGCTTTCACTCTCCCCCGTCCCCAGCCTCCCTACACCACGAAGAAGCTTCTGCATAGGAGAGGGACCCAGGTTTATAAATCTTTCCCTTCCACCTGTTTTTAGTTGAGCAGGCCTCCAAGCTTTAGTTAAGCACTATCATAGTAACTTCATGTGAGACTAGGTCAGACTAGGTCACTTGAGGGGGATCTTCATTGATATGGGAGCTTTATCCTCTCTTGTATGTGACTTTCAAACAGTGCTCCACAAAAAAAATATTTACAAAGACCTTACCTTTCTGGGTCAAACTTTTCAGGCTCTGGATAAATTTCTGGGTCATGATGAATCGCATAGCATGGAACAAGCAGCGGTAAGCCTTTGGGAAAGTGCACTCCTTTGATAGTGCATGCCTCTGTGCAATCTCTCTGGAGTCTATGAAATACAAATAAATCAATAAATAATATGCATTGTCAAGTTTTGAAGACGCATGGCATCTAATCTGGCATCGTTTACGGGCGAACTTTTAGCCACATTAGTGAGATTAAGCACGTATACGGCAAACGGCAAACGGCAAACGTCAGATTCAAATTGAGAATTTCTCAAAATAGAAAACGGGCCCATAAAACAGCTCAAAACAATTCTTATGGATAAAAAATTACTTGAGACTACTAATTTATGTGTAGAAATAATGAACAGTAAACGACAACAAAAGGGGTCAGGCGGTACAAATTCGCGTTTGCCGTAAACGTGATGCTTAACCTCTCTGTTGTTAGGGAAACGCATTCCAGCCCAACCTCACTACCCGTGGATCGCCTCAAAATGTTTTCCCGAGGGTGACCTTCGCCAACCACTGTTAATATTGTCAACATTTTAGAGAATTCATAAATGGTCCAAAAAATGTTTGCAGAATGGTACGAACATCAAAACATTTTTACATAACACCTGTCAAGATCTGGAAAACTCCTGAAAGGTATTAATCAATAAGTAGTAATTTAGAGTACGTAATAGTTGAGAATGTTGTAATATTAACAATACATCATCTACATGATCTGCTATAGTTATTGTTTAATAACTTAGTTGATTTGTTAGCTATATAGCTAATTTCATAAGGGAGGGAAGTCAGTCTGCTTGTACTTAAGTCAAAACTTAAGGGAATGTTTCCTTACATAAAACCAGGAGGATACATTCTGATTGCTTCGTTGATAACCATGTCCAGATACTCCATCTTGTGCAGAACATCGTATGACGGTGAATCCTAAAAATGCAAGACCACCAGTTACCAAAATTGAAATCAGGAATGATGCCATCAAGTGTGCATGAGCAAGCAATAGCTGCAGTGCAGAAATTGTCAGGCGGCAAAATTCAGGTAGTATCGGTTAGGTCTTGCCTAGTCCCTAGGCCTCATTATTATGGGCGGCCGATGCGTTTCGGGTCACGTGGTCCGAGAAAGTTTTTGAGGCCTAGACAAACTCGGAGAAGTGAGACATTTTGGGCGCTTTCCATTTACTCAAAATTTCCGGAATTTCCGGTTCGGCGGTAAATGGAACACGTTTCGTCGGTTCGTCCCACTGGAAAATTCTCAGAAAAAGTGGAAAATCTAAAAAGGTGGTCCCGTTTTCCCGGTTGGAATTTCCGAACGGAATCTCGTGTTCCATTTACGTTTCTCGTAGTTTGTACCAGTTCCAGGTCCACGGTCGGGCACCGCCACGTACCGGGGTTTACGACAAAATGGAACAACTTTTTACCAATCGGAAATTCCACTTTAGCTACCACCGAAATTTCCGGGTTTTTTTCCTAAATGGAAAGCGCCCTTTGTCTCACTTGGGGCGGAGCTTTTGGAAGCGAGCGAGCTGTCAATTACTTTTCCTCGCTGATGAAAGATGTCCAGCAGCCATGGAGAGTACAGAACCGAGCATAATTAATGCTCGTTTTCATTGTCGAACGTCCTTTGGCCTTTCTTTTTCGTTTATCTCATTAAACCAATTTGAACTATATTTCATCTCAAAAACTATTTGTAGGCTAAGCAAATCAGCGTCGCAAAAAAATTATTTGATCAAGAATCGGAAGGTAAGCTAAAGAAATAAGTTTATATTTATTCTTGGATATGAAAAGCTATCTTTCGTTTCTCTATTTTCGCTTGCTCCTATAAATTTCTCGTTATCATTTCACTTTGAAATGTTTTATGTAATTTAATTTTCGAATTTGGAAGCTTATCAAACTAATCGGAGAGGCTGTTGATTTGGTAGAATGTCAACAAACTACTGTTTCAAAACTTTTTATCAATAAAGAAATATCATTTTAATGGTTCATTTGAAAATGAAGTAAAAGAGAAACTACTTGCACGTTATACGGTAGTATTCTTTCCGATTCAAAGTAATATTTTTGTTCTTTAATAACAGAAACCAGGTTAGTTATTTTTGTAATAGTGTCAATGGTGCCGATTTTTAAGCGAGGGATATTCTCACGCGCAAAGTTATTTATAGATTATTTCAGTTGAACGTGTGAACTTTTCAAAAATGCTCACGCATGCGCACTCCGAGATTGTCTAGGCGTCTCCCGGCCGTTCGTCTCGGATACGTCACCGAAACGCATTGACCGAGAGGGCCTGGAAAGACGCCGTACAAAGACTAGGCAAGGTTACGTCGAGAAAATATAAACTCCTGCGTTAACACGAATTTGAACACAATTCTTTTTATGACGCACTTTTCTGCAAAAATTAGGAATCAGATCTGAGCAAACAGAGTCAGTTAAGTTCGATTTTAAAAGATGACGTGATAACAGTTGAATCTGTTTGATACACTTGAACATACAAAACAGAAGTGAAGTCCTGAGATCTGGGTAGTGCTTCTGATTTGTCGTGCCGCGTGGGAAATTTGATTCAACCAATCACAAGCACTACCCAGATCTGGGTTCGTTTCTCAGACGTCAATTGGCAGGGAAACCAGTGGTAGCGTCGCCAAATGACGGCCGCTGTTTTGTCAGGTTAGTGATTTTGCTGATCGGCGAATTTTTCTTTGACTGGAACTAAATTTTGCGTTAGGACTAGTCTACGTTTATTTGAGACAATTCGTGTGGGAGCTTTTTTTTGTTTTGTTTTTGCGAGAACTCTTTTTTGCGGAGAGCGAAGAAAACACAAACCCGTAAAAATCGCAAAAATGATATTCCCTGTCCAGTGGAACCTCGATATATCAAAGGGCCAAGGGACTTAGGTTTCGTTATATCCACTGAGGTCGTTTTCCATATATGTTGCTATTACTGGGGAAAAGGTTCTACTGTAATCAGATAAACGATTTGTTTACGCCAGTGCGCTACCTACCTCGTCTCCAGTCCACATAAGGTCAATCTCGTCCCTCAGTTTCTCCTGCACATGCGTATCAAGGGCGAGATGATAACAAACAAACCCCAGAGTCGTGCTGGACGTTTCATATCCAGCAAGAAGAAAAGTAACAGATTGGGCTTGAATATCTTGATTGTCAATTTTCGCTGCTCCAGTTTCTTCTTTTGCATCCAACATCAACTGCAACATGTCCTTTCGCTGTGCATAAATGTTATATTATAATGGTGAAATCGTCCTACACCAGAATTAAGTTGAGCGTGATATAAAGAATTTTGCATATTACAGTAAACGCCTGAGAATAAGAACCTCCTGAAACTTGCCACTTTAATACCCAAAAGTACAAGAACCTGATTAACCAAGCAAAATGAAGCAGGTTCTTATATGTGGGTTGCAATTAAATTATGATCAAGAATTTCACCAAGGAGTAAACTTTGAGACTGTAAATTTAAGGATATGACGAACATACTGTACCAAACTGTATTTTCACAATAACTGAGCGAATCCTCGAGCGCTGATTGGTCGATGATGGTCTATGAGAGTTTGTATGTTACTTATTTACTAGAGTATTTTACGAAATTAACCTGAATTAGTTGTATATACTTCCAGTTGTAAGTTTAGTCTAGTTTTCAAATAACAAAATTCCTGTACTTGAATTTACATGTAAGGTGTCTCTTTCTGCATGTTATTGTTTTTCTTTTCGTTTCCATTTTACTTATGTAATTTAATATCGCCTTTACTTAAACGTTTTGTCCTGCCTAGCTTAGTGTAATAGCTATAGAGCGTTTTCACATGACGTCACGGCGGCCATATTGGTGTACCTAGACAATCCTGTGAGAGTTGAACTCTTTTCTTATGCAAACGTTTTCTTTTGTTCCAATAAATTTGCATAGATGCTGGACACGTGACTGAAAACGCTCTATTTGCGGAGCATGAAGTATTGTAAACTTTATAGTTCTGTTAATATCTACATTGTTGTTGTTGTCACTGTTATATCCTCAAACAGGTGTTAAATTCGGTTTCGTATGGCGCGAAGAGTCATGCAATAACCTCAAAAGTATATCATTCTATGGTAAACGTTACCTGTCCTTTGCTCTGACCATTGCCGCCTTGTGTCCTTTGGGTGATAATTTCTGCTGCTACTGATCCAATCTTGTCAAAATGGAAAGGGTCCGAAAAGAACTTCATGAGATGGTGTCCAAATGGTAACAGCACTGCCCATAAGAGAAATATCTCTTATTAACCAAGTTCTCGGACCGTACAGGTCCGTACTGTATAAAGTTACGAACCGAAAAGCTCCGAAAAAACGAGGATCCGTGACTGACAGTACGGACTGAGAAAAACGAGGTTAGCAAGAAGATACCGTAAAATTCCGAAAATAAGTCCCGGGGCTTATATTTTTCAAAGGCCCTTTTTGAGGGGCTTATTTTTGGAGGGGTTTATATTCGGAGGGGCTTATCTACGAGGGGGAAATTTGCGTTTCAAAATCGATTGGGATAGCCTTATAGTTGGAAGGAAATTTACCGTTTTTGCTTTGTTTTGCTTTTGTATTTAAGGGCAATTTCCAAGGACAAGCCCCGGGGGACTTATATTTGGAGGGGCGATTTAATGGAGGGTTTTTTTGCGTTACGAGTTTGGGGGCTTTTATTTGCAAGGGCTTAAACATGGAGGGGCTTATTTTCGGAATTTTACGGTATTTTTTTATATCCCTGAGGTTAATTTGGTGCGCGGGAAGGAAACTTTAAAATTTAGTGGGCCTTACAGTAAAATACGGCCCGCAAAATTGACCAATCTCAGCGCGCGTACTAACTAAGAGATTATAATAAAAATAATTTATCAGTGAAACAAGTCAGTTCCAAAAAGAAGTAATATAAGGCTCTGACAACAAACATAGACAAACGCCTTCGGACAAATTAGCATTCGCGTTTTTTAAAAAAATTATAGGCTCGCTACGCCACTAGGCTCCCACGCATGCAGCGGTTACCATCAACGATGTCAAACCGTGTTTCCCATCGAGTTATGTTTAATCTTCCAAAACGATAATTCTGTAAAACTGTGTTTTCCCCTACGGGTTAAGTTAAATGTTTCAAAATGATTATTCTTACGTACGTAATAATGCAATAAGCGGGTTTGGTGCCATAGCCATTTTCGCTTTTTCAGTAATGGGATCATTCTCGACAGTTTGTGTATCTGCTTTGACTCCAAACGCTGTTGATAAAATCACGTCCATTGTAAGACTCTGAAGCCACCTGAAAAACAAACGAGATGTCGTGAAAGATATAAACAAATGAGATGTATACCTGAAGATTCTAGGGAACTAAAATGGGGCAGCGTGGCCAAGTGGTCAGCGCGTCGGTCTCGCAATCCAGCGGTCCCGGGTCCGAGTCCCACTCTGGTCATGCACTTGCTGAATTTGTGCTCGGTCGTCCCAAGTTTAGATCCTTGGCTACGCTTGTAAATAGCCAACTGGTTGCCAACTGGTTGGGATTTTAATCCATTTAGATGTTGTATTTGAATTATTTGTTTCTAAGTATTCGAGTGGAGTGCCTGTAAACTAGCTGGATAAGCTAACTGTACTTTCCACCGAAAACAAACCTTAAAACCTTTTTTTAAAAAACATCTTTTAAGCTAAAGCAGCCACGATCACGACGAAGTACTACGACGACGACAGCAAGGACATCGACAGAAAGGCAACGGGTTTAGATCAGCATAACAACTTTGCACGTGTTTCTTGTACATTTGTTTGCCGTCGTTGCATGAACACGACGTAAAAATACCTAATTCACATTTCCAGCGTGAAATCACTTTTTAAGAGACGTTTTTTCCACCGCTGTGTTCGTCGTCGAAAAGCTCCCTACTTGAGACATCCGCCATTTGTACCACCATGAATGTTCTTAGCCATTCGAGATTTTACGAAAGAAATGATGGCCATTTTACCCAACGTTTTCAAGGACTGGTTCTAACTATCTAACTTCTTTTTTCTCGTTCGTTACTTTACTACTGGCATCTCATTGGCTGTCTGGAGCCAATTCATGTATAGGGAAGTTATTAGATCATGATTTTGGCGGGAAAATTAGCTTAATAATCTCCTTTCACTTCCCCTAAGTTAAGTGTTGTGAAAAACAAAGACCACGAAAACGAAGATCGAAGTCTTAAGACCCCAGAAAATGATAAGGAAGACGCTGAGGTTTTTTTTTACCTCTTTCTTAAGATCAAAGATTCACGTTAAATTTTTTGAAAAAAAGGGGAATAGCACATTCAAAGAGTTTTGGTAAATAAGTTGCTAAATTTGTCTCTATTTGTATCACCAGAAGTCCTCGTGGAGTCTTGAGCTATGATCATAGTTAGATTATTATAAATTTATGAGCAACCCTGGCCGCAACCTGAATTTTGTCGTCAGGAAATTTTGAAATCACGCTCTTAGTCAAGAGCTTTAAACGAAACCAAGTAATTAATATCGACACATTATCTTGCTTAACAATCGCAAAATCTATGAACCATCAAAAAGTTGTTGTTTGATGTTTAAGTGAATTTCAAGGTGAAATTAGTTTTATAATGATCACGAGGTTCGTTTTCGCGCGGTCTTTATCTGAACAATGTGATAGTACATTTGCATCTTCCAGCTTTACAGCAACGCTAAACTCAGTGATGAATTAAATAGCAGATAGGTAACCTGTGTATACATTTACCTCTCCCACTCGTTACACCAACCTGTGCAAATCAACTATCTCTCCTGTCTTGGATATGTTGTCCAATTTTTGTAAAAATGTGTCTACTGCTTCATTTATAAACGGCATCATCTGAAGCAAAAAAAAGATACGAAAGACTGCTTATTCCAGGGTTCCTTCTCTTTTGAGTTCTTTAAAATTCCATAAATTTTCATGACTTTTTCTTCAACCTTTTCAAGTTTTCCTGGGCATGACCTTAGGTTTCGCTGTCACTTGAAAAAATTTGCAAAAGTTTTTTTTTGTTTTAAAGTATTTTTCGACCTGAAACGGTTCAACAGAAACAAACTCTGGTGTTCACCAAAACGAGAGCAATTTGCGCTGTTAAATTACTACTCTCTATCATACATTGTCCTTGCTTTGTCATCTGCAGTAACTAGTCTATCAAAAATAACTTTAATTTTCCATGCGACTTTCAAAGACTGACAATTACTGAATTCCATGACATTCCAGGCCTGGAAAATGAATCTTTTAAATTTCAAGACTTTCCAGGTTTTCCATGACCTATACGAACCCTGATATTCTTTTGCCTATTTTTCACTGTTATGATGGATAATATATCTGAAATTAAAAATTAACCCGAAACAAAAAAAGGCGAAAAGTTTGGTTCATGCAGGTAGTTGTAAAGCTTATCAAGTGGCATGGATAGCCAGCACGATTAACAATTACTGTTCAGAAAATAATTTTGCTGCAAACCACCGCTTATAAAACCTGGGCTTCTACATCTTTGTAAGGGGTTTCAAGACGGATTATTAACGGAGGGGCTTATAACTGGACCACAAAAATCGCTTCGAAAAAATCCATAGCAGTGCTGATCCCGGGGAGGGGGGTACTTTAGGAATTTCTGGGTGGGGATGTGCCGCTGGGACCCTGGAACCCTTAACCTATGCTAGAGCTAGTTCAGCTAAATTTTGGTACCCTATACTAGAGTACACTCCCCAAATCCCCCCTATCCTAGAGTGGCTGTTTCCCTAGTCTAGATAAAATGTTCAACCAACTGATCAGTTTCCTGAAAAATGATACCCTATTCTAGACCCAGATGTTCTGATTTATATACCCTATCCTAGAGTAAACTGCTTGAAAACCCTACCCTTCACAGCGGCACATACCTATATAGCCCATATATGGCAGTACCCTCCCCCCCCCCCCAGGTGCTGATCAAAATATGTTTTGCATTCACTGACTGGCCAGACCATTCCGGTATGAGAAATTCACTTTTAATCCAAACTATGCAGCCAGATCAGTCATATCCTTAATAGCATGCACGAAGGATATGGTTTTTCAGCAAAAACCCTTTCAAAAAAGCGGATTTCATTTGCTCACTGACTGGTCTGGCAATGGTCCGGCCAGCCAGTTCTGACAAATGGAAAGCGCACTAAAGCTTAAAAAACGTCATAATAAATCGAATTCACTTCAATACATTGGGAGGGGTGTTATATTTGGGCAGAGGGGAGGCTTATAATTGGATGTATGTTTTCTTATATACTGGTAGATGGGCCTATAGCTGTTGGGGTCTTATATGAGGGGGAGCTTATATTGGTAATTCAATTACTGTTCAATTTTAAAAATGGTTGAATGAGAAAGAAATAATTTAACGCCAAGAGAAACAAAATTCTATGCACAAGAAATGATGAGGACTAATGGTTAAATCAGAAAGAAATAAACTAATGAAAAGAAAAATGAAAATTGTGTGCATGCACAAGAAACAATAAGGGTCCTTTGCTCCAAATATTTTAAAGTGGCAAGAGAGTGGATAAGGCCAAAAACCAATACAACAAGACAGTAATGAACCCTTATAACTTAATGTTTACATAAGTAGGTTGAGCAATTGATTGACCGCGTGAGCATAGTCCTGAAAAGGACTGTTGTCGTTGACAGTAACTGACATTTCAACAACCTACCCATGGGTCATCTTCCCTTGTGACTCTGAAGATGACTATTGCACAGGTTGTCAAAATGTACTCAGTCACTGCAGTCAACAACAGTCCTTATTCAGGACTACGTTCACCCGGACGATCATGCTCAACCTAGTTATGAAATGACTTCTGGGTTCAAACACTGATTTCAAGGAGGATTATGTGACCACCCAAAAGAACATCTTTGCTAGCAATATACTAACCTGCTTCATTTTCAGTGCACTGAAGGTCGGTGACAAAGCACTTCGTATGTCCTTCCACTTTTGACCCTGGACAACTGTTAAAACTCGATCATAGGGTGGCGGGATTTCAATTAGGCTCTATGAAGAAGGATGTTAAGAAACCTTTACTGTATTTTCTACAAGTTCATACATTAAAGAAATCTACTTGGTCTAGAAAATTATTTAGAACTACATGAAAAGCTGCAATAATTATAATAAATTCTTATTTGCAGTTCTGGTTTGCTGTGTGCGCAACTTGCCTTTCATAAAACATTAATTTTATTAAACCAAACTTGAAGAGAACATTTTTGCATGATGTCATGGTGACCAGATTGGTGTTCCAAAACAATGAAACAGCGGCCATGTTGGTGTCCCAAACCAATCCTGTGGGAGTTGAACTCTTTTTTCATGAAAACGCTTTCTTTTGTTCCAATAAAATTGCATAGATGCTGGCCACGTGACTGTAAACGCTCTACACTAGCTTTTTCTATAAAGTCAACCATGCATGGGCATTCAAATGACCATGTTTTTAATGGACCAATAGCTTGCAGTTTGAAGACCGTTGACCGAGATCTCACCCTCCCAGGGGTGTCTCCAATGTGAAAGGATACATAAAAAAAATTATCATTATTGGAATAAACCCACTAAAGGTAACCAATAAGGGCATAGTTCTGAGTTGAAATTCCAAAAACCCACATTCTAAAAATTGCAATAAATATGTTGCTATTTATTGCATTCTGTTATTTTCCTTCGTCTTATCATGATATTCTTATGCACGCACAGCCCTCGGCGATACCTACACCCTTTGCCATCCTGAACACCCCAAGAAAATCTGCACCCCGGAACAAGTCTTGTAGCAGGAGCATCCCTACCCAATTCATGTGAGTGTTTTCCCATTTTTAGGGTTGACCTCAACCCAATTTCCTTTTAAAACTTCAATGTGTTTATATGCATATGTGTACCTTTCGATCATGAAACTTCGGAAATTCTTTAATGAAGATCTCTTTAATCATGTCTGGATCAGCAACCATCAAAAAAGGCTGGCGGAATAGGTATATTCTAGGGAATAAAAAGCAAACTCAGTTTCCAGATTACTCAGATATAATTTAATCTTTGAGCATTGCGACCTGACTGAAATCCTTCATGAACTGACACAAGTTCCATTGCCTATAGTACTCTCATATATAGAACCTGGAGGCAGTGACTGTGGCCAGGTGGTCAGCATAATTAATATATCGAAATCCAGCAATCTTGGGTTTGAGTCCCACTCCAGCCACTTTCCACTGGATTTACTTGTGATTGTCCCAAATTAAATACTTGACCTGACGCTCATAAATAGCCAACCACTGCCTTAACTGCCAGTTGGGGTTAAATTTTTTTTACCAGGAGGTGGGTGGTGGTGTGGTTAGTACATTGGACGTGCAATCCGGCGGTCCCAGGTTCAAGTCCCGCTCTGGCCACACTGGATTTTTCCTAAGTCATTTCAATTTTAAATCCTTTGGCCACGCTTGTAAAAAGCCAAGTTTGCCTCTTGCCAGTTGGGGTTTTTAATCCTGTTATGCTCTACAGACTAAGCTCTCGTAAGTGACCACCTCGGAAATTTGAAAAAGTGGATGTAACTAGAGCTGGTCGCTTACGAGAATAAGCTCATGTACGCAAACACGTGGTAAAAATTTTACCAATAATAATAGAGGGTGGTCTCTTACAAGTGTTTCAGAAATTCATCAATAATTCATAAAGAAAAAACAAAAGCAATTAATGTTCAATGAGTGTCTTCATCCAATTTTTTTTACCAAAATATAAACATCAATTTTAAATATTTGTGCAAGAATGAGTTTATAAGCTACATCAGTTCCTGTTTTATCAGGTCTGAGTGGTCACTTAGGAGAGCTATTTATTTGAACAGAACTGGAGTCCAGTTGGGTAATCCCAAAAGTGCTTGTTGTTGTTATGGGAACAGTGGCCAGCTATGAGAGCTTTTCACTACAAAGTTTAAGTCACAAATCAAACGCGGTTTCACAAAGGTTGCAACTAGAGCTGGTCGCTTACGAGAGTGGTCACAAGGAGAGCTGCTTTGACTGTATTTGGACTATTTGTTTCCAATTATTTGAATGCAAGGTCGGCAAACTAGCTGGATAAGCCATAATTAAGTGCATTTCCCACTGTCAAAAAAATCTTTAATCTTCAACCTTTTAACATGGAAATGATCAAAGATGACATAAAATTTTCCTTAAATCTGCAAGGCGAATCCACCATAAGCAGTAGGCAGGAAGGTTTCAATGCAAAGTGACATTCCCTTAATAAGGTAAGAAGACAAACTCAAGATTTTTCCAGGGCTCTATTAATTTTGTTTTATTCATGAACTGCTTATTGGAACAAAAATAACCACAAAAGCCCTTCGCAACAATTATTTTGGCATAAAACCAGCCCATCTTTTCTTGTTATGTATAAGCTGAAAATTGGCAAGTAGGTCAGCTGATCAGAATGCAAGATTTGCTATGGACTAATCAGAATAATTAAACTAAATTACAGACACCAGCTATAGTTGCTACAGTACTTTGACCAAATGGACCCAAGTTCATCAAGAACAAATTCACCAAGTTCACCACATCAAGTTCACCACATATTGGTCAGGGTGGCTCACACTGAAAATAATACATACCCAAAGACCTTGCCATACTTCTTATACCACTCCAGATGACGTATTGGAGTTTCATTAGGCTATTAAAAAATTAGGAAACTTTGTTAGATCTAAAATCTTTAACCTTAAATTAATAACCTGACTTAACATATCAAAAACCTAAAAACTAAGCACTAAGATCAATCACAAATTATTTCAGATTATGTGGATAAATTATTTTGTTATGTAAATCAGATTGAAATTAAGAATTTTACCTTTACAATAGCAAATGCAGTATTTCCAAAAAAAGGCAGTGGTGATGGTCCAGGAATTCCAAGCTTTTTGAAAACAGAGTAAGTTTCAACCCAAGACCTACATACACAAGAAGAGAGCATGAATGAAAATAGCACACATCTTTAATTCCAAAAATGATAAAAAATATATTATCATCATTTTAAACTGGCCCTTTGCTGCCTCAATCCTTTTTAATCCTTTTTTATTCTGCAGGTGTTTTTGCCAGGCTACATGAGGCTAGACATAGTAGTGTAAATAATATATAAGAATAATAGTACCACGTAGTAGTGTAAACAATGTATAAGAATAATCACGTCTTGGGTGGAGTAGCTTGGGAGGTGGCTCACTTGTGTGAGTTCAGGGGAAATTTTGGAGGTGGAGCAGCAAGCAAAAAGGGTGGCGAAAGGAAAAGTGAACAGGATCAGGGTTGGAAGGCCTCAACAGGAACAATCTTCCCATAACTGCATCCTACCAAGCAGGCTCTTTTAGGGGAAGAAATTTTAGTGGCGGAGTCGTCAACACCACAAAAATGTCCTTCTCACACACTGCTGGCTCTGCCAAAATTTTCGCTGAATTCACACAAGTGAGTGTACCCGCAGACTAGGGGGCGGGGGGGAGGCACTTTTGGGAAGATAAGGTAGAGGTAAGGTAGCGGCATGCCACTGAGGCCCTCCAACTCTGGCGCCATTAATCTTGATGTTTTCACCCTTCAGAAATTGTAATTTTGGGTAATCCCCTTCAGAGAAACCTCTCTCCTAGAGTTAAACCCCTCAGAAAATCTCTCAGGTGTCCCCGTAAGAAAAAATCCCATCCTTAGGGGGTCATATTAAAAAATGGAATGGCCCTCATCGGCACCTGTCGATCCCTTATGCCATACTAACTGAAATCATAACCGCCAACCTCAAAACCAAGACCCTAAAATTAACCCTAACTCTTATCCTGACTCTGATGCCAACCCTAACCAACATGCTATTTTTCGGCGTGAAGGAAAGCAAAAATAACAGTCTCTTCTAAATAAACAGACGCGGATAATCAGAAGCCGGTCGTGACACTTATCTGTCACGTTGAGATCGGGCTGCTCGTTCCATTTGCAGTCAAGCAAAAATGAACCTTCACGGCTGATTAATTCGTTTTAAAACTGAAATTACTTTAAATACTGTACGAACCTGTACATCAGCAAAATCACGAATCCAATGGCAAGGCTCACCCAGTGGTTATTTGCAAATTCTGCAACTGCTTGCAAAAAAGTCGCCATCTTAAAAATTTAGGTTTCGAAGGCTTACAGTGGGTCTTGTAAATTTGAACGTTGTCTACACTTCAGGCACTTCCGAAAGATAAAATGAGCTGAAAAGAGAAATTTACGAATACGTCCTTGAGCGATGGTTGGATCCCGCGAAAACCACCTTAAATGATAAATTGCAAGTGAAAGAGGAAGCTGCAACGCAGCTGCATGAACAAAGAAGAAAAACATACATATCTACGAGATCCTAGCTTTACCTTAAGCTGATGTCACTGGACGTTTTCACTTGTCTTTCTCCAATTTACTCCTTTTTATAGGTTACTCAATGACCCTGCCCCAGCTACAGAAACAAATCAATTTTGTAATGCCTATTTTTGTAATCCAAGATGTACTTGTCAAAAAATCACTGTAATTTTAAGGTACTTGCAACTCAAGCGCGTTTTCTGATTGGACGAGAACTTGTCATGTACATGTCATGTACAATGATAACTACAGGCGAGGCAAATAAATTCTCAACTACGTGATCGGTTCATGTACCCTGAAACCGCGGGAACTGTATGTGCCAGTCGCACTAAAAACTAATTTTCCATAGAAATGAAATAAAACTTATTTCACTAAATTAGGTTTATTTGGAGTGACCTAACTATGGTGACCTGTTTCGTCACTGGTGGTCTTGATCGCGTGACATTATGATCACGCGAGGAAAGTGATCCGTACAAAAGCTTCTTCGCTTATAATTTAAACCTATGTAAAAGAGGGTTTCTGAAATTTCAAGTACATCTTATTAGTACCTAGTTTATGAGAAACAACCTAGCGTTCGTGACACTTTGAAAATTTTCTTCGCTAGTAAGAGCAGATTACTCCTGCTAGACGTATGTGATTATTTACCGCTGATGATGTAATATCCGGAAATGCGTCAATAGGTACAAGATATAGGATTTTTTTTACCATAACTGGAAATATCAAAGAGGGCTCTAAACGTTGCATCAGCTTATACTGATGACTTAATGATAAATAACTTTATACAGCGGTAATACCTTTTGTTTTGTTCTGTGTGTTCAAGACTATGTCCAGTTCTGTTTTGGATTGTTTCAAAAAATGGCTCAGTCACTTCCAAATGCTCGCCATCTTGTTTTAAAGCCATTTGTTGGCAATTGCAATAGAGCAAATTCACCTTATAGTCATTGCTTTTGTATACTTGGAGCACAAACACATTTTATCAAGCAAATTCGAATCAAACGTGCACGTAAGCTATTTATGCTTCGATTTCCCCAGCCGATAGCAAAAGAACAAAATGAAATGTGTGCAGTGAGCTCTGTTCGTAAAGGCAGTACAAAGTACATGATGAAGTAAAATGGCTATGTGAACACAGAACACACAGCCAGTTTATTAAACTCAGACTATCAAGTCAAAATATCAATACAAACTATCCTTGAACATTTATTGTGATTTATTGCCTGCGAAGGTGAGGGCAATGAAACCGCAGCAACAGTCAACAACAGTAACATCCCCACCGTACAAGAAAGAGGCAGGAGTTGGGGAGAGGGCCGGTCGAGGAAAAGGTTTGGTGACAACGAAATCACAAACATGACACCCATTATACAAAGATCCATGAATACGACGACATTATTTGAGTACATCATGGCGGATTCAATCTTCGGTACCAAGCCCGCAACCACTTCTCGCGCAATGGGTAGATTAATAGACCTATTCGGCACACTCATGCCGTGTTTAGACTTGAACGGTTTACTGAGGTACGAGAGTTTACTTACCCAGGTAAACATTTTCCGTGTGTAAACACTAACTAATACTTCGGTAAATGCCGCAAAAGACAAAAGAAATTTGACCAAGGTAAAAGTTGTAATTACCCTGTGATTACAGTTGGTAACCAAGGTCAAGATGACAGATATATCCGCTTGTGGCGGTGTAATATGTCACATCCCGCGGTGAGCAGATCGTGCGATTGTCACGTTTCTATCATGGCAGATAACAGAGAAGTCAGGGAACGATTGGATAGATCTTCGTACGGCGAACAATCCGTCAGGTAAAAGAAGGCATTGTTTTTTTTTTTCATTTTCAGTATTATTTACGGCCATGCCCACACACGTTTAGCTCGTCTGGTATTTTTTAAAGCAATTTGGAGTAAAACCATCCGTTTTCGTCTCGACCTATTGAGGTATTGTAACATCAACATCTTACGAAATCTTGACGTTTCTGTTTGGGGCTCTTGAATTAAGAATTAAAAGCAATGGCCACGAAAGCCACCACTTTACTTCTTGAAGCGAGCATGGTTTTAGAATTTCCCGCCAGTTCGATTTCATGACGTAGATAATACTGATAGCGGGAGTGTCGACAGATCAACTTGAGTTATTTGAGCTAATGTAAACACTGGACGAATGTACCAAGGTTAAGTAACTTGACCTTAGTAAATTTTTACCTCGGTAAAAGCTCAAATGTAAACACGGCATCAGTGTTGTACCCAATTCAAATCGCTCCCTGGGTTAAGATTCTTTGTGTATTGTATTTGCATCATAATGTGGCATTCATGATTAAATGATATGGAAATTCCTGAAGCAAAACGTTTTATTCCCAGAGGTTCTGAATTGGGTACAACATTGAGTTAGCCGAATAGGTCTATTTTATAAAGTGGAACCTCATCTCACGGCCACCTCGTTATTACAGCCACTTTTTTTGGCCCGGCAGAACAGCCATACATTTTCATATAAAAAAACCCTCGTTAATGCGGTCACCCGTTAATACGGCTGACGGCCACATTTTAAAATCCTAAACAGCAGAATCTTTTATATTTTCACCCCGTTAATACGGCCAGTCTTTCGAAATTAAGTAGCTGAGCCTGATATTTCGATGCGGTTTAAAAGCCGATGTTTAACCCTTTCATTGCCAGAGTGAATGTTGGAGTCCCTTAAGGTAGTCTTAACTTTTGAGTCTGTGGACAAAATCCTATGATGTGACCATTCAAACGAAACCTCTCTGCCCGTTCTTTCAAATGGCGCTATTTGTTTTCAAAATTTTACAAAACGAAATTTGGGAATTTTTGTTGAATTTTGCCCGTGAGCACACTTGGCACTGAAAGGGTTAAAAGTGTTTTATGCAGTAAAGAAAAGTTTCAAGTAGTTTTTACAATTACTGTACGCGACATCTCCGGGTGTTTCTGGGGACGAAGTTAGCTATTACTGCTCGTAAGTCATGAAGTTTGACCCTGCCCCGGTAATAAGGCCATCCCGTTAGTACGGCCAATTTTTTTTGACCCATTAGTGAGCGTATTAACGGGATTCCACTGTATGTAACTGTATGGTTCGATTGTCGCATAAAATTTTATTTGCGAGCAAATTATGTATAAGGAGAAAAACTAAAATTAAATCATAATAGAACAATAAAGTTTCTTTGGCAATAATTGTCAAAGTAAGCTGAAATATATTTCATGAATTGTATAAGCAGAGGAATTCATCTGTTCATTGATCAATAATGAGGAAAGACTCGCACGATAATATACATCATGTTTAGGACAGAGAGAACAAAACCTTACCCTGTCCAGCGGCAGCCTCCTCCTCGGATGCTTCGTTTTTCGCAAGGTAGAGGCAAGCGACTGGTGATGAACCGCAAGGGACCATGGAAAGGGTACAGACGGCAGGCGAAGTCCGTTGTCTCCTTCCCGCCTTCCTTTGCGCGCACATCTTCATCGAGGGAGAGACGACTGGGTACGAGGCAGGTCCAGTGGCACATCCGCCCCGTATCAAGCCCCGTATCGGCCATCAAGAGAGAATAATGGAACAGAGAGGGAATCGTAGGGTTTTGGCTGGGATATGTGAATTTTACTTAAGTTACTTTTCGAAGGTGCAATTGAACGGAAGTCTATTTCCTGAGACTTCCGCACATTTTAATCGATTGTTTGAAACGTCATCAAGCTCACGCGCGACTGCCTAAAAGCAAACAATGCAGAATATTGTAATGGCGACTGTTGACAACACTGAATTCAAGTCTGCAGAGGGCGTTTCTCTCTCTGTCCTACTTTAAATTATTTGTGTGAAATAAGGCTAACATGGTGAAACTCGTGCAATGTGCCTCGTTGATGGTTACGCCACTGTGATGCGACTGCTTACAACGTGGATATACACGTTTTAAAGCAGTTCGCTGCACTAAAGGAGCCGGTCAAGTATTCAAAGCCCACCTTGTAACTAAAAACGTTAAATCCGATTTGAAAGCTTGTTCTCCTCAAATTACGTACTTTCGTCTGATGTGAAAAATGAGACCACTAGCTAAAAAAGAGTCTCTGAAAATGAATTTGAGACGTCAACTTCCACATAACGGCATCTATATAACGAGACGGAAACTTCCCAAGGCTTTAGCAAGTAATGAATAACAGATATGAAACATGCAATTTGAAAGAAGTGTTTATGTCTTCTTGATTTCAAGAAAAATGGAGTCTTTTCTCCCCGCTGTTAACTTTTGAATGGCTCAGTCTTGAGTGCTAGACCAAAGAAAGCTGAAAGTTAATATCTAGAACAGGACTCCAATACCGGCTGCTATTCGCTGCCAATGTCTTTTTTCACCTTGTGCACTTGCAGCCGTTCAACAGTGATGACAAGCCATCCAGGCGGTCTTAACGCTATCTTTTAAAACGTTTTGTTGGTTTAATGCCTTTTCAATCTAGCCCTTGTAGCCCATGCTTTCTTATTCCTTGTTCAAGTTAACCATGGAATTATTTTTAGTTTGGGAAACACTTGTCTTTCACTCCGATGTCGTGTCCTGACCGAAGGAAACAGGACTACAGTAGCACTGTTTCTAGCCTGTGAAAACCGTCGCCTCTCCTCGCTCCCCGCCCGCTAGAGATGTTTCGCCAGGAGGGACGATGCCCCTCCTGGCGAAACGTCTCTAGCGGGCGGGGAGCGAGGAGAGACGGCTGTTTTCGCAAGCTACACTGTTTCGAACGAATTGAAGGACGTTAAGGTGACTCAGTCCAGAACTGAAAGGTTGGGGTCTTGCCATTAGATACCCAGGCTGGATCAAAATCGAAGACGTTCCGACGACACCCTACTTGCAAATTCGTTCAACTTCCTTTTCTTGTCCTGGCCAAGATCTCTACGTCAAGCAGACCATCGCTAATTTTGAGATTACGATTTCCGGTTATTAAAATATTTTGTTAAGTTTCAGTTGTGTTCTTCTGGTTGGTACTGGCTAAAATAGCACTTCTTGGTTTATTGCCAAATACTCAGTCTGAACATGAATCAAGTGATCGGGACATTTGCACAGTTCAAAGTTTATTTCTCACCATAAACCATCTTCCTCATCCTGTCAACAAGTGACTGGCACTGTCTTTTCCAACTGAATCTCTTTTCATAACTTTTTCGCAGGATTTGAACTTCGTCAAGCCGCTGTTTCCTCGATTTTTTCCGAATAGCATCAATTCCCTTGGCCCATTCCTTGGGGTCATCAGAATCGATCACTAATGAATTGCCTACAGTGAGACCACGAAGGACTTCCCCGAATCCGGAATTTCCACTAACCAGAATGGGCAGACCAGCAGACATGGCTTCAAGTGCTGTCAAGCCAAATCCCTCAGTTCTTGATGGCATAATGGCCATATCAACTTCACAAAACAACTCTTTCAATTTTTTCTTGCTTTGTATAAATGATCTAACAGTCAGCTGGTTCCTTGAAATGCCTGTCTGGAGTAAGATTTCTGCGACTTCATCCTGCTTTCCATCAGGAGCACCAACAAAAATCAGACGGTAAGAACTGTCCTGCAGCTCAACAATGGCTTTAGCAGCAATGTCATAGCCTTTGATACTTAAATCTTCAAAATCGCCACGACCAATGGTTAACACTTTGAAAATTGCACTTTCTTGTGTAGCATGCTCAATATCGGAAAGCTCTGCAAAGGAACCCGGTATGAACTGAACGATATCTTGATGAGATGAACGCAGTTTGGATGAGTAGGCTTCCTTCAGCTTGGGTCCAACTGCCACAACGACATCTGCAAGTTTACACAGGTCAACTTCAGCTCTGTTTTTCCCCTCCCCTTTGGCAATTGCACTAGGATAGTTCTTATGCATCGCTAGTTCTTCAGGTTCTGTATGCACAACCTGCACCCACTTGCAACAATGAGACTCTCTGATAATTTGGGCTTGTTTACCAAGCTTTGCACCATGGCCAATCACAACCTGAATGTCAAGGTCTCTTGGTGGAAAGCACAACCAGACAAGAGGATCACTAAAGCCGGGGCGACGCTGTGCCTCGCTGATAGAAATCTTGTGACTTTCAGCTGCTCTCTTGTCTTCTTCGCTACACGCAAATTCAGGTGCAAGAATGGTGACTTCTACGTTTGCGTGTTGTGCCAAATTTATAGCAAGAGTCCTGTTCATTGTTGACAATCCACCCTTTGACGATCCCCATTCATTTGCTAAGAGGGCAACTTTCAAAATTAAGTGTTCTGCATGACTTCGTGCAGTAGTAAATGAGGATGGAAGAGGATGCACTTCCTGTAATAAAGGCAAAATTAATAGTTTAAAATAGAACTTCGGTGACTAGGGTGGTGGTTTCTTTTAAAAATAAAAAACAAAATTTGGCAAACCTGATAATAATATGCTCAAAATGATGTACACTTACTGAACAGTAACAAACCAAAGTTTGTAAAGGAAAAAAACCCAGCCAGTAGACGTAATAAGATATTAATACTGATTTCACTAGTAGACTTGCAGCCAATAATTTTAGCATGTCAATTATTTATTCATTCACTTACTGATTTATTTATTACATATTTAAACAGGGATATATTTTAGCCTTCAAGAATGCCATGCTGCGCAGTTCACATCCTCATAATTTTGATGGCCAATTTATCGATTCAAAGGCTGACGTTTAAAGGTAAACCGCTTCGTCAAAGTAAAGTATTAAATGCTTGAAATATCAAACTTGATTCAGACTTTATCAACTCGCTTGAATTTAAGTACTAATTCTTGCTCAGTTAAAAGCAGCTACATGTAGACGCCTTCTAATGATGTCGTCTGTAACCTTTGTCTTACACCACGGACAGCATTATGGTAAGCTAAATGGAGTTAAACTTGGTGACTACCACGACATCATCTTTCTCCAATCTAATAATGCACATGACACAGACTTCTTACAAGCCTTTTTAATACCGCTTAGATAGATGGCTAGTCATTCATTGACATAATATTTAGCAAAAGCAATACAGTCGAATCTCTACTATTGGCACCTCTTCAATAACGATCAGCTTTTTCAGTCCCTACAATATAACTCTTGTATTAATTTATCAAAATTTATCGAAACGGCAACGGCCACTAGATTGCGTCCCAACTTCCAAAATAACCTCTCTACAATGGTCTTTTGCAAGTCAACGATCTTACTGGACGTTACCCGCTATAATTGTTAACAGTTTTGTCGTTAACATTTGGTTTACATGGTGTACATTAGAAGGATTTTCGTATGACCTTAAAATGAAAATCGCGAACAAAACAGAAATAAGAAACGAACGGAAATAGAGCGATTTGATTGGTTAATTGAACGGATACAAACGCGCGTGGCTTTTGGTTGGTTAAGCGAACGCTCGGGTGTGAAATTTCTAGAAATCAATCGATACTTTGCTTTGATGTCATACTGCAACACGATTGGCCAATCGAACAATGCCTTCTCCATTTTAGGGTTTTCTTTGGCGTGAAAATGAAGAGTCCATGTTTTGATCCTTTCATCCATTGGCAGATAAAACATGTAACGAACACTTACCAAAACTATTTTTCAAGGTCATACGAAAATCGCCGCAGTCTATTTTCAGGATTGTCGGTGTTACGTATTTAATATGTATAATGAGTAATTATAAGCCTTAAAGCATTGCCTTAGGTTGAATTTAGTTACTTCCTACCTCAGTTGGTCTTGGTAAGAACCACTTTTCCTGTCCTCTAACTGTGAGTAATTCCCCTGAGGGTTTCTTTTTGCAAATCAGTGGGTCCCCTTGTTTGAACTCAAGGAGGTGAAGACAGTGTTCATGAGTACATGCCATCTGATTGTGGCCTGAGCACTCTTGTAGCTGACAGTATGGACAGGCGACCCGAATCTGATACTGCAATCCACGTAGATACAGAAGATCATTTGACAATGCTTGCAAAGTTGCCTCAACAAACTCACGCACCTGAACTGCCACCTCGCTTGTGTCATCCTCTGAGATCTGCTGACATTGCGCTCTTTGCTTAATAAAAAACTTTATGAACTGTTTCTTACAGATAAGGACGAAATCATGGACAATTTGCCTTCCAATGACGAACCATGCTCCGCTTTGGTATAACGTGGGTGGCTGAGTTGGACCAGCCTCAGAACACCACCTGATGAGCCTAGAAACAAGTCGTGTGAACAGGCCATGGGGGATAAAACCAGTGACAAAGTAAACATAAAGAGGACAAGGGTCAGAGCTTGAGGGTACCATGGCACAAAGTAAATCAGGTGGCACTTTGAGTTGAGATGGTATAAAGTACTTTCTATCAGTCTTTGCAGGTGAAAAGTTTGCAATCAAACTAAATTGTTCCATCATGTCCAAAATGTCCTCCCTGACAACGCCCTCCAGAAGAAATTTGGAAAACACATGATCAACCAGTTCCATGCTGAGGACGCCGCTTTCTTCAACTTCCTTCCAGTGTTTTGAAACCTTGGGTTCCTGAGAGATAATAAAATGAAGAGTGATTACAAAACAGGGCAACCAATATGAAATAGGAAACTCTTAAAAAAAAGAGCTCATGTATTTTGGACCTTACCGTGTTAGTAAAGTATGGAATGGTGATCAGCTGCCTAAACAGGTCTATCAGCCACTTGGCACTCAAAATGACTGTGCAGGAGTGCTTGATAATTATCCCTAGGTCATGATAGAAGTTCACCATGGTGGTAAACTCTTCCTCGTCATTAATAAAGCACTTATCCTTAGCGTACGTTCGGAGTTGCTCTACAGTCAAATGATAAACTTCCTTGGACAGCAAGGCACTGATGACCTTCTCGAAGTTAAGCCACCTAGTATTTAAAAACAATAAATGATATGAGCATAAATTTAGTACAAGGTTTCAGGTTACAAAGCAGTGAACTTGATTTAGTACAGCTACATGCAGACCTTCCGAGCCAACTAGGCAAGGGTGTCAACGTCACCAGATAATTTCACCGAATATAAAGCCTGGTTTGTTTATGTTTTACCCCGCGTGAATCAAAGTCTGAGGATCGAAATGTACCCGCCTGCAAGCATTCACTTATTAAGGGTCACATTATGTTGCTTACCTGCGACTGCACTGTACATTAACAGGATACAACTCCCTTTCAGCAACTTCTATAGTATTCCTATATCACGACATTTTCTTGCACAAGGTTATTTAGACACATTTTAGAATATTTCTTCTGCTCTGTATCAAAGGTTTAAACCGATCTAAATATAAGCTGGTCTCTGAAAAGGCCTTGACGTACCGTATTTATTCGATTAACCGCCCTGGGCGCTTATTAAATTTTTGGACCTGGCGAGTGGGCGCTTATTCGAGATGGGCACTTATTCGAGGCTGGGCGGTTATTAAATTTTCACCATTTTCAGCAATTAGTATAGTATTTTTATTTTGCAACAAAACAGTAAATGCCAGTAACAAAACGCAAAGAAGTAACAAAGCAAGGTTTCTGTAAAATACTCGGAAGAACACTCCGTCTTCGGGGAAGTCTCTTATTAGTACTTATTCAATTTCAATCTCATTATCGCTCAAGTAGGTGGGGTGGGGGTGGGCGCTAATTGAGTTTGATTGGGAGGGGGAGGGGGTGGGATGGTCACTTATTCGAGGCTGGGCGCTTATTAACTTTTTCTGCCTTTAGGATGGGTGCTTATTCGAGGTGGGCGCTAATTCGAGGTTGGGCGCTTATTCTAATAAATACGGTAAATAGAGAGGAGTTGCCTACTCCGAGTTATGAGCTCCTGACATTGGAGCCCTTATCATCGCTCCCGCTGCTAGGTATGTCTCAGGTTACCTCGCCCTACCTAGGTAGGGCAATGCTATTGCCACATTTGCTGAGTGGACATCATCCTTGTTAGTAAGATCAATTGGAAAACCGTACCCGTAGGCAGAAACAGTGCATCTTGAAGGTTCCTTTTTTTTTTTTTTTTTTTTTTTGGGGGCGTCATCGAGTATTGCATATACAATCTTGCACCTGTCTCGTTGAATGTTTTGTCTTTGTTTCACGCCAGTGTTTCATTTTTTCGTTTAATTTGGGATCACGTTCTCCCACAATTCATATTAATAATAATTATGCAGTAAACGTTTTTGGAAAGAGATTTTCACGTCTGAACCCTTGAACTGAAACAAAGTAGTTCAAACAGATATGCATGTATTCCGTTTCAGCCTCCTCTCTCTCAACACCTGGAGAGTGGGACCCACTCTCCATGTAAGCTCGGTCTGTGACAGAGAGATGGTTGAACTTATATGTAGCATGCACTGTAATATCCGCACAATTCTGTACAATGAAAGGCTCGTTAGATTAAGGTGTTGGTTTCCTATCTATGATTATTTACCTTGCAGGTATCCTTTCCCCTATGTACGGCTGCTGTCTTAAGACTTCCATGATTTTGTCCCGCAGAGCTTGAATCTCGTCAATGCTTTTATCTTGCCCTTAAAAACAAATGCAAATATGGAGCAAGCATTGGAGGAGGTTGATAATGGTCTATATCATACAAAAGTCGAAATCAATAACTGTTTAATTATCACTTCCAATAAAATTCCAAGCTCAAGAAAGCTCTTACCTCTGCGCAAAATCCCCGTCTTTAAACATTTCCTGTTTCTTAACAGTTTCGGGATATAAAGCCGGATGTTATTTCTTTTGAAGAACATTAAAGGGCGTTGCCAAGATTTTCCAGAGACGTTTTTCAAATCAAACCCTTACCCCGTTCGTTTTTTATGGGTATGGTGAGGTTATATACGGACAGAATGGAAATTATTTTGGTTACACAGTAAATGCCAAAGCCTAAGAGAACCAATGGAGTCTGTGGACGTGGGTTTCCCCATCGATGGTCATATCTTCATTTAGATTTGTATTCCTACAGGTCACATAATCTTCATTCTCACGTTTCTTTGCTTTTATGGGTATTTTTATGTATTCCTATGTTTCTGGGGCAGTAGTTCGGTGCGTGGGAAATCGTCTGCCATTTTCTCTAGCTCTACTCTCTGACAGTGGTTTTCTCTTTCATCAGACCAATTTAATTATGATTGACGTCAATCGTAAATCAACAGAAACGCAACTTTAAAGTTGGGTCATTGCCTAGCGGCGATTTAAGTCAGTCAGATGGGAAATTGTAAGGTCATGGGTACTTAATGAAAAGAAATTTCACAGGCATGGTGCAAAACCCGTTTGGTTCTTGATGGATTAATAAGGACTTTAACCCATAAATTACCTGCATGGCCACGCCTGAAGACCTTTTTTATTCTGCTTTGATGTAGGTTTGCAGTGTTGTTAATGCTAAAGACTGGACGCACTACGTGTCCTTCATATTCTCTACCAGCAATCCCCTTCTGTATTTCTGACTTCATGGTTGTAATGTCTTCAAATGGTTTGTCTGCATGGGTGCCTACAATGATCACAGGAGGCCGGAGATGAGGCAGCTTTTCTTCTTGATCGTCACAAGCTTCTCTTCTTAACCTTGTGATGCTGTGCAAAGTGGAAAGCCAAGATAACAAATTCTCAAGATTTGTTTCTCCATTTGGATTGTCCAAAATAACATTGTGTGATCCCTGTCTAACACATGGCTTGGCAGTGTCATGTAGCGACTTACTGAGGTTGCACACCAAGATGTATATCGCACGTGATGTTAAAAACACAGGATGAGATGCATAATACAGGTGTTGTCCAGCAAAATCCCAAAGTTCAACATTGGCTACAGGTTCTTCTTTAACACCTTCACCTTTCGCATACTTTATCAAATCGACAGTTCGCTCTTTGACCTCTTCTGAAGGTGAAGAAAGATCAATCACTAACTCACCATCAGGGTCTGCTGATGTGTGCACACTAGCACTGTTCATTTTTGGACTAACAACCTGTAACAGAAAACCAAAAGGATAACCGTTGAACGATAGAGAACCCTTTATCAGCTAAAAGATCAAGGCACTATCATTGGCGACATGGGTACTGTGTTAACCAATATGGTATCCGAAACTTTAAAGCAAATTTCCCTTTTTTAAAAAAAAGGGTGATAAATTTAAAAAATTGCGTTCGTTTGTTTGTCAGGGGCACCCGACAACTGTTTTCTGTTTAATATCTGGTCGGAGAAGAAAATATTGCCTAGAATTTTGTACTAATTGAGGGCAGCTAAAAAAGTCTAGATGACCATTTCATTCATGTACAATTTTCGAAGCTTATCTAATAAATTCCCTACGATTTTCAGGAGTTTCATTTTTCACAATTCACACCATGGGTAGGCTATTTCTCGTAGGAAAAAGGGAACCTAAAATTTTCGCATTCAAAAATACGATGGAGAGAGGAATCAAACAAATTTTCACTTTCGCTAAAATTCGTCTAAAATTTTCCGGGAAATAATTCTGAATTAGGCGCATGAAATTCGAAAAGACTCAAGTTCCCCTAGGATGACTGAATAGATTCAAATTTTATAGCCCCATTTCTATAGGTCTAAAAGTAGTCTGAATAACCTAAAAAGTGTCTTCAATGCATTTGGGAGGAAACCGTCTTTGGTTGCTCTTGGTTTGTTTAAGTTCACCAGTAAAATGCATATTTATTGAAGCTTTCACATAAAATCAGAGACGTTTTTTGTAACATCTTATCGAGTATTACAAGACAATAAACAGAATCAATGGACTAGATTCCTCAGCATTTTTTACGTTTTCATATAACTTTCGACCCCTTTTGAAGAGCTAACCACCATTTGAAACCGTATGCCTGAACCCTGGGTTAAAGACATTCTCGAGTGTTTGATATACAGCTATTTAAAATAAGAAATTCAAGAAAAAGTGTAACAGATTTTATGGCAAGTAAAAAATAGTTTAAAACATTCTTTTTTATACGTGTGATGGGTGTTCGTAATGACCCGCAATGTAAATACATGGTTCGTACAACTTCAGACGAACACATTTCAAAGACTTTTCAAGGTTTTTCAAGGGCAAATTACAGTTTTCAAGGATTAAGATTTATCCTATAAATTGGCATTCTTTAACCCCTTTTGAACACCTTATTGGCTAAAACACGTCATGGAGCCATTTATGATTTTTATTCCTTCGATCAGCCATGTTTGATCACATTATTTTAAAGTCCTTTCCGAAACAACACTTTGCAAAATGACTGGGTATGGCTTGGAATTGCATCTGAGGTACAGAAATAGAATAAAGAAACAGAAATAATTAATTGTTCATGCAGAAAAATGTTTTTACGTTCTCCCTCAATTTTTACGGTTTCTTACTTTTTTACAGTTTCTTTCTTCATCCTCTCCAAAGGATGAGCCAATATTTCCTCTGCGAAATAATTTAATTTCACAGAAAATGGTGTCTGGTGTAGACAAGGTAGAGGGTTTTATGGAGTTTTCAACTACTTTTCAAGGACCTTAACCGAATTCAGAAGAACTCTTGGAGACGACTAGTACTAAAATTCAAGACCTTTTTTGAGTTTGAACGAACCATGTAAACAAGATTTTATCAGGATTTGCAACACCTCAGACAAACCTGCTGGGCTTACAAATAAATCTTCCTTTTCTCCCTCAGTATCACCAACCTGTTTCCAGTTCTTGTAATCATCAATATGAAGGTCATTTGCGTGTGTTTCCTTTTTCTCCTCCTGAGCCCGATTGGACTGCACGGGAATGAACAGCTTTTCCACCACCACCTCTGCCACAGCTTTCGAACATCCCAACAAACCCTGTTTACTTCCATCAATAGGTTGCCAATTCTCAGCCTCATCAACATCCACTTGAAAGAGTGAAGGATCCACTTCAATTCCTGTTGTACTGTTTTCTTTTGGATTGAATGGCAAACCGATGAGAGATTTCTTCAAACTTGTTTTTCCTGCCCCATCCTGACCAATAAAGAATACCCGACCACGGTAGATATTAACAGCTCCATCTCTAAGAGCACTTTGATAAGCAAGCTTTGCTCTTTCTCCTCGTGCTTCTATTTCTGTAGGAACTAAACAGAATGAAAATACACCACAATGAATAATGCCGCATGAGTTTTATTTTAACCTAAACATTGTAAACAATACATGCAGTGTGCACGACTCGTGAACGCTAAAGTGCCCAAGCTCGCCTTGAGTCCCATTGCAGCTCGGTGGTTAGCCACTGCTTGACTGGTGCCTAAGCTATGATGGTCATGAGGGCAAGGGGGAGAGGGAGGGGGGTCTATCTCATCAGAGACTTTGTTCCACATTCGCAACATGACAAAAATTTTGCCTTTCAGTGATCTATCAGTATACACTTACACCACTAACGCGGCGGTAAGTTCTATCTCTATCTTAGAACTGTAAAAAACATTTGAAGATCATTCCCTATTGAGTGAACAAGCTCTCCGAGCTCTCCAAGCTCTTCAATGCTTCGTTGATCCTGTAGCAAAATTATTGTAATAACAGATATTACTCACAACCGATTTAAAATTTGAAAAGAAACGCTAGAAATAAAAACAGATATTACTCAGAACCGATTTAAAATTTGAATAGAAACGCTAGAAATAAACAAAGTAATTATTAAAACATGCAAATGTAACTAGAACTTTAACAAATGATTATTTAATCCAAATATCCCTGCCTTCACCTGCAATATCAGTTTCTACCAACATTCCTGTCTTCTCCCACTTCAGAGCACATCTTATGGCATCAACATTTAAAGGATTACTATTCACATGCAGCTTCCTTAGCTCCTTTAGGTCACCAATTTCAGCCGGTAGTTCTGCAAGTTTGTTGTCATTTAAGTACAGCCCTTTAAGCTTGTTCAGCTTCTGTATACTGGTAGGCAAACCAACCAACTGGTTGTTACAGGCACTCAGCTCCCTCAGCTCCATCAGGTGCCCAATCTCAGCAGGTAGTTCTGTTACCTTGTTATTATCCAAGTACAGCAATTCAAGCTTGTTCAGCTTCTGTATACTGGTAGGTACACAAATCAACTGGTTGTTACTCACATTCAGTTCCCTCAACTCCTTCAGGACGCCAATGGCAGCAGGCAGTTCCGTTAGTTTGTTATTGGCCAAGTACAAGCCTACAAGCTTCTTTAGCCTCTGTAATTGGCTAGGCAAACAAACTAACACGTTGTTACTCACGCTCAACCACTTTAGCTCCTTGAGGTCACCAATCTCAGGAGAAAGTTCTTTTAGTTCGTTATCATCGAGATGCAGCCCTTTAAGCTTCTTCAGGTTCTGTATACTGCACGGTACCCAGTCCAACTGATTTTTATTCACTCTCAACCACTTCAGCTCTTTTAGGTCACCAATTTCAGCAGGTAGTTCTGTGAAGTTGTTATTATCCAAGTACAGCCCTTGAAGTCTTTTCAGCTTCTGTATGCTTGTAGGTAACCTAGCCAATTGGTTGTTACTCACACACAACTCCTTCAGATCGTTAAGGTAACCAATCTCAGCAGGTAATTCAGTTAATTTATTATTATCCAAATACAGCACTTCAAGCTTGTTCAGCGTCTGTACACTGGTAGGTACACAACTTAACAGGTTGCTACTCACTTTCAGCTCCCTTAGCTCCTTCAGGTCGCCAGTCTCAGAAACTAGTTCTGTTAAATTTGTATTATTCAAGTATAGCCCTACAAGGTTTTTCAGCTTCTGTATCCTGGCAGATACACAAACCAACGGGTTGTTACTCACACTTAGCCACTGCAGCTCCTTCAATTCACTAATCTCAGCCGGTAATTCTGTTATGTCATTATCATCGAAGTGTAGCCCTTTAAGCCTGTTCAGCTTCTGTATACTGGTAGGTACACAAATCAACTGATTGTTATTTACACGCAACCACTTAAGCACCTTCAGGTCACCAATTTCAGCAGGTAATTCTGATAAATTGTTATTATCCAAATAAAGCCCCTCAAGCTTTTCCAGCTTTTGTATACTTGTAGGTAGAATAGCTAAATGGTTGTTGCTCACACTCAGCCACTTCAGTTCCATTGATTCACCAATCTCAGCAGGTAGTTCTGTGAGGTCGTTTTCATCAACGTGCAGTCCTTCAAGTTTTGTCAGGTTCCTTATACTGGTAGGTACACAAACCAACTGATTGTTTCTCACACTCAGCCATCTCAGCTTCTTTAGACCCCCAATCTCAGTAGGTAGTTCCGTTAACTTGTTATGATTCAGGTAGAGCCCTTCAAGCCTGTTCAATTTCTGTATACTGGTAGGTATACAAATCAACTGGTTGTTACTTACACTCAGCTCCGTCAGCTTTTTCAGGTCGCCAACCTCGGCAGGTAGTTCAGTTAGTTTGTTTTCATCCAAGATGAGCCTGGTAAGATTTTTCAGCATGTTAATTCTTGCTGATAATTCAGTCAGGTTATTTATATCCAGCCTAAGTTTTTGCACTTCACTCAGCTCAGTGACTTCGTCAGGTATCTTGGATAGCCCTTTTCCACTCAGATTCAAAACTGCCAATCCATCTTCACAATAAACCCAAGCTTTCAATTTTGTTGTTCTTGAATAATGCTCCGTTTTGAAACTATTAAAGGTAGTCTTATTCCTTTCTGTAATCTAAAATCATTAAGAACAGTTATCAGCATAATACACATTATTGTTAATTAGAGTACAAAAAAAAGGTTTAGTAAATGGTTTGAACCTAGGAGTCACGTTGTTAGTAGGTAGAATATGACCGGGGGGGAGGGTACTCCCTATAATGGCCTATACGGGCTTCTGGTATATGAAAGGGCCGGGATTTTACTCGTTGAAGTATATAAAAGGGTAGGGAAATCAGTCACCCGGTCTGTGAAAAGGCCCAAAAGGGCTAACAGATGAATTTTATGGATTTATAAAGTCGAGAAAACGTTCTATTTTTGTGATTGATTCCTATTTAAAAGACAGTGAATTTACAGCATTTAAAAGGGATGCAAAGTTCTAAACAAGGTAAGTGAAAGGGGTACCATTTGTCAAAAGAAGGTATACGAAAGGGGTATCTTTTTCATGAAAAATGGTATATAAGGGGTTGGACCTCGGGGGAGCCTCCCCGTATAAACATTTGTTGAGTCAGGCTCCCCTCTCCCGGGAATATGATCGTCCGGGTGAGTATAGTCTTAAATAGGATTGTTCAACCTGTGCGGTAGTCATCTTCAGAGTGAAAAGCAACAGGGCATGCCGTTAATGGTATTAACCCCGAGTAGTTATAACATGGTTATCTTTCAAGTCACGATGTCACTGGTCGTCAGTTAGTTAAACTCTGGTGTTAATTATCGGCTAGTAGTAAGCAGTGCGTTTCGATCCGTCTTTTTTCATTGTAACAACGGTGGTTTATTTTTAGCCGAAATAGCCGGTTTGTTCAATCATTAGCAGACTTAGCAAGGACCAACAACATAAGCATTTTTCTTTTTCTCAGGAAAAATATCATTTCAAACTTCATTTAGTACAAAAGTGACATTTCAAGGTTGAGACAATGTTGGTTCAGCCCTGTGAAATTTAATCATATATCATTAAAATCAAAGAAAAATTGAAAATTGCCCTAATTACCCATGATGCAACTATGAGCGTGAACTCCTCCATTGAGGCGATCAGTGTGTGGTACATATTTAATTGGACGGCTGAGATTTACATCTTGTTCCGAAATAGTTACAAACGGTAGTGAGAGCAAACTCCAAGAAGCTCTGGATGACCTTTCGAGACAAGCGAGTCTCGATGGGTTCCAACTGAATGAGGCCAAGTGCAAAGAACTTCGAATTGGATTCTCCAACAGCAACCACGACTTTGAACCCCTAGTCCTAAATGGCAAACCCCTTGAATTAGTCACCAGTGCCAAATTGCTAGGCTTGACCATTAGCCACGATTTAAAGTGGAACATGCACACCTCTGAACTAATTAGAAAATGTTCCTCTCGTCTCTACTTTTTACGTCAACTCAAGAGATCCCGAGTGGCACCAACTGAACTGGTGCAATTCTATGTGACATGTATTAGGCCCGTCCTGGAATACGCAAGTCCTGTATTCCATCGTTCTCTACCAAACTACATCAGTGAAGATTTGGAACGGATCCAAAGAAGGGCTTTCAGAATCATCTATCCTGACCTGTCATATAGTGTAGCATTAGAAACAGTTGGCCTACCGAAACTTCATGAGAGGAGAGAAAAGATTTCAATCGATCTGTTTGACGAGATCGTCTGTAACTCCACCCACAGTCTCCATAGCCTCCTCCCCCAAAGGAAGAGTCGTAAATATGCACTGAGACGCAAAAGTGATTTCACTCTCCCCCTATGTAAAACCAAGCGTTTGAAGAAAAGTTTTATTTTTAGCCATGTCTATAAGATGTAGATAATTTTTCTTATTTTCTCTTTGTTATCATCAGTATTTGTAAATATCCCGTAATTCAGCCTATGGCTGCAATGGTGTTTATAATAAAGTATCTATCTATCTATCTATCTATCTATCTATCTATCTATCTATCTATCTATCTATCTATCTATCTATCTATCTATCTATCTATCTATCTACTAGATTCACCAAATATTGTTTCAGGATGAGTGCGTTTTATATTGCAGTTGAGTAATTAAGACATACGTAATAGCTTTCGTTGGTTCTCAATGGTTATGACGAAATCTCTACAAATTAAGAGCGTGACGTAAGCAAAGAAGAAAAGGAAGGATATTGGTGCTATTGTAAGTTTTCTCAAAACAGAAACTTCAGAGTACGCCCACGCAACATTAAAAGAAGTTACCGGTACCGTAAGCACAAATTTGTGACGATGATAAGAGGAGTGCAGATTACGCGCTTGACATAGTATTTGATGATCTTTAAGTCAATTCAAAAACAAGTTCCAATAATAAGGGAAATTCAAAAATGGCGGATCCAAGATGGCGGCCCCGGGGGGGGGGGGGACTCCTTATATGAAATGGGTGGAGATGCTCGTCGTCTCCCTTAGGGGTATAAATTTCGGATTTTGGTCTCACTTAGGGTGTTCTGGGCAAAACGCCATCACGTTTAGCCGTGAAGGTCTCGTTTAGGGTTGCACGCGAAAAAATATAAAAATATATATATTGTCTGTGTTTTAACATGGTCTCTTTTAGGGGTCAAAAAAAGCTTGGGCCCCGCCCAGGATCGGTCTCGTTTAGGGGTTTAATTCAAAATTGCCTATGAGCATCCCCACCCCTTTCATATGCGGAGTCCCCCCCCATGGGATGGCGGCCGTCTGAAAATCGCAATGGTAATTGTGTTACTGACTGAAAAATGAACTCCTGATCTCATATTCAGTATGACATCATGACATTATACCAAACTATATACCAGATGATCCACCAAGAATTACTTGTTACAAGGCTACGGATATACTCTGTACGTTCCAAGTTTTACAGTCGGAACCTAAATTCTGTTGAAATTACGAAGGAACAGAGAAGTCAGTCCCACGTCTCAAGGGACCAAGAAAGCCCGTTACGAAAGGGGTTAATATACATACATTTATCGGATCAATTTAGGCTTCTGGGAAACTGCAAACCTACCCCTCCCCTAAGCCCTCATTTTGTCCTAAGTAACAAGTAACTGTTAATGTTAGCTTAGGGGAGGGGTAAAAGCTTCTGATGCAGTTCCTGTCACACTGAAATGACTAGACTAAGTGTATAGATTAACTCGAAAGTTTAAAATTAAATTATGCATAAAAGAAAATTCTTGGTCAACGTTACAATTTGCTACAATGATCTGTTGCTTGTTGCAGCAAATAAATATAAGAATTAGAGTGTGTTCTGAAGTTTCGATGCCGTATTTAGCGATTTAGCGTCATTGTCAAGAATAAGGTTCTTAAACAGTCAATAGTTGTTTCTTAAATATTAAAAGAGATCAGCTAACTAGCTTTTGAAGTGAGAATCCGTGGAAATCGTGTCTGACTGAACATTCAATAATGGTTTGCACTATTTGGAATGAAGAACATCTCATACACGAGGCAGTCGAATTTGCCGCGACACATCCTGAAGACGTAAAAGTTCTTGGTCATCGATAGTTTTTTTAGTCTTACGTTGTTGTTTTCCGTGGTTTTCATACCCGCCTTACTTATGAAGGATTTAAACTTGACAATCATTAATCATAACTTTATTCCTTCATAGGTATCCTTACTATTAAAATACCGACGCACATATTTGATTGCTAATTAACTCAACTCTCAGTTTCTTCCAACTTTGACTGTTAAAACTCTATTCTTGGTAACGATGCCCCTTAAATCTAAACGCTGTGAGTTGAGCTTTATAAACTTTAAAAAAATGCTACTGTGCATTATTCACGGTTCAAAGATTAGTAAAATTAATGATCATACCGACCAAGAGATAATAAGGATTATTCTCATTTTTCTCTCTTGTACAGACCTAAACATTTTTTGAAAAAATGGCTGATATTTATCGTAGCCTTTGATTGAAGATTACACTGACCGATCTCCTCCGAACAAAATAAAATTCAAAATTGTTTTTAAACTTATGCAGTTTCCTTACCGTTTAGTTGCCGAATTGTTCAAGGGGAAACTTTAACTCGGCTGACAATCGCTGAGTTTGATGAGAAGTGCCTCAGCTGGCTACTCAGAACGGTGTGGTTCTGTACTCTACATACTTCGAAACCGAACCACACTCAAATTTAGATCGACTTATATAAAATTTCCGTTTCTGCAGCTAAAAAACTAACTTTTGGTCGTAAAAGTTTGTCGAACTTCCGCCTTAAATGAAATACAATGCAAATTCAGTGACTCGGCACATTTTTCACTGGTAGTCCCTAAAAGCGTATAAATAACATGGTCATTCAAATCAGACAACTCTTACCTTTGAGGAACAAGGCACTGATCTGAAAAAGAAACGTTTTCAATTTCTTTTTCTGTTGTTTTACCCGAAGCTTGTTGTAAACTACGTAACGCGGCGCGATATACAAAAAGATGTCAAGTACTCAATACACAAAGAAAGGCGTAAACTGCGCAATACAACTGTAAACCGCTCTTTCAATATCTAGTAATTTGCTAAATTTCTCGGGGAAAAATTTTTCTGCAAAGTGGCAAATTGCTAAATGACTACAAAAGTACAAAACAGTCTTTTCATTTTGTTTATTGCCAAAACATTAACGAAAATGACTTACGCTCTTGAGGTTCAACTTCTTTTAAAGTGTGCGAAAGAGCACAGGGAATCGAAAGTAAGAAAAAGCCTTAATTCCGCCAAAACAGTGGAACGATGACACGCAAAATATGACAGATTTTAAATAAATGGATAATTGAAGCGCTCGAACGGAGAGAAATTTAAAGAAATACTGAAAATAGACCTCTGGACTGTTGGTTGACATTACGACTCACTCTGGTTTTAAAAACAATCTATTTGCCGTCTATTTCACAGAAAAAAGGCTCAGGTTGCAAGATATTGTGTATTTTACAGGCTATGGCGTATATTACACAGTTACAACCTTTGGTTTTGTGCTTTGCATTGTACATTTTGTAACACTAAAATACACTTCCCTCTTTGACCAGTTTCGACTTAAGAGAACTTTACCCTCTGTTAAGTTTAAGAAACTGAGCCGAGCCGAGCCGACTCAGTGTAACTAGCCAGTTTGAAGCTCTGTTCTGCACTTCCGGGCAATGATTTCATTCGAAATAATTATGAAATGTTGGCCAAATCTATGAGGAATGTGCTATTATTTACCAATCTTGCATGAAAACATGCTACAGTGGAACACACTAAAATAAAACAAGACGTTTTCAGTAAAACAAGGACAGTGATCTTTTAAGAACTAAGTCTAAATCAAAGCATATTTAGTGCAGAAAACCGCAAGTGCTTTCGTCCAAAAAATAATAACAAGGCCCCACGTAAGGGAAAAGGCAGAAAAAGTGTTTCTCGCAGAGGCGGGAGCGACAAGGTACAATTATGTTCAAAATTCTTCGCAGTCCTACGAAAAACAAAGAGTTTGTTAGATGTTAATCATAATTCCCTGCCAAGTAAGGCCCAACTGTATTATTGGTTATCCAGCTTTATACCAAGTTATCGACAAACTTGGTACATAGTGAAAAGAAATGCGAATTGCGAAGAAGTGAAGAAAATAAATATGCGTTATTGACCAAGCTTTTTTGGTCGGGCTGGGTACATTGACCTCGTTCTTTTTTGCTTTTCATGCGCACGTGAGCGATGGCAGCTCATGACAGATATTTTTGTACACAATCCCTAGAGTGAGGAGTAGAAACAAGGCTTGAAACGAATTAATAATCAGGGCCGAGTTGTTCAGAGCTAGGTTAAGATAACTCAGGGTTAGTGCGAGATTTGAATTCAGATTTGAAAGCTTAAAAAGCATTTTAGTTTTAATTCTTTTTGTCCACAAGTTGATGATTGGAAGTTCTAAAAATTACAGAGAAAATTGTCCGAGAAGATGCTTTTGAACATAAGAAAAAGAAACCAGGGTTAAATTTAACCCCGGGTTAAGCGCTAATCGGCCTTCGAACAACTGGGCCCAGGTTTTTAGAATCACGTTTACGATAAACGGCGAACGTCAATATGTACCATGTGGACAAGTCCCGTTTACTCTTTATCATATGTACAGAAAAAGAAATAGTTTCATGCCAGGCTCTTCCATAAGGATGAAAACACTCATTCTTTATCTGTTCATTTCCTGATTTAAAAAATCAATCGAGACTAGCCCAGCAGGGTACCAAGGAAGCAAGTGTCTGCTTATGTAAATGAGAGATAAATCAACTGTAAAATAGCCTGTTCCAAGCTCTCAGCATGGATGATAGAAAGACTTTCTATTATCCATGCTCTCAGATAGTAGAAATGACGCTTTAAGTGTAAGGCACGCGAAAATATAAGCGACTATCTCGGAGATTCGTGCTCTCTAATTTTCGCGGACTTGGACTATCTCGGAGCCCGCAACAGGCTAAGTGTAAATACAAAATTGTAGCATTTTTTTTGCATTTTCTTTGTTTGTTTCCTACCAGTTCGGAATTTACAAATCCACAACAAATGACATGAAGGAAATTAACTTGTTGAATCAATGATGTTTCCGAGTGAGCTTTTGAAAGATACTATATGGCTTATTTGACTGGTTAGTTCATATGGTAATCTTCGTTGTACTCCTCGTTTAGGTGGCTCGATAGGGTTTTTGAGGGTCAATACCTCCACCATGAACAATGATTTGGAAAAATTACCACCACAGCTGTATTAGATTATGATGAAAAATTGTCATAATCAGGGTTAAAACGACATTGGAGTTGTCATAGTAACGAAATGAGGCCATTACCTATTTTACTTGCAGCTGAATTTTTTGCACTGGGAACTGTCCGTCCAAAATCTTTTACGGAAACTAGAAAGTTCCGGGCTCCTTAATAACATGCAGAATAAAACTTTAAAGGGGAAAAAATAAACAATTATCCATGTTTAACAAAACCTCTTTTAAGACTTTTAAGCAAGGCATCTTTTTCTGATCTGATCCATTTGTTACCCCTCCGCGTTTCAACAATCCTTCCTTAACAAATCCAGTGCCCGTTTCACAAATCAAGAGCTATCTCAGGACATACCCAAACGAACCACATGCAGGTTTAGATTGACTTGTTATAGGGTCTTCTGGGAATAGCTGGCGATCAACTGGCAGGCTCAAAAACGAGAGGGGAGGGGAGAAGATATTCCCTTTTGCTCTTTTTTCTCCCCCTCCCACTCCCCCTCCACCGAAGCCTGCCTGGTAACATGCCTGGTATGCCTGTGGTTCCGAAAAGGCAAAATGGCGGTCATCAGAGTGACACTAGCAGCTAAATACAGGAATTGCACCGACCTGTGATTGGAAGATAAAAATAGTATTTCAGTGACGATGACGTGACAATTCGTTACGTTAGCCGTTTCAAGAGTAATGGTTTTTACACGAAAAAGACAGTCCACAGGAAAATACAATATAATATTAAATATTTCTCAAAGACAAACAGTGCAGTATTCTTTTGAAGTCGGCTGACTCACTAAGAGTGTCTTATCGAAGTTGAAGTTCAACTGTCGCAAATCGGATAACTTCACTGAGTGATTCTGAGATGAAACCTTTTGTCTGCATCCACATTGATCTTAGATTTTACCACTTACATATTGAAGAAAAGCCATAAACAGAGCTTCAATGTCCACGTACACCCGACTGAACCTCGGTGCGATTCCTGCAGATACCGCTGTTCAAACTAAATGCAGGAATTGCACCGGACGCTTTGTAGATCCCTTGCATAATGTACTTTTAACATATCTTTAACATCAGATATGCCAAAACATTGGGAGCCATGCTGCAGATAATAGTAACCCTTCTCTTCTTTCTGCCAGAAGCTTAGCTGCTTATCCCATGTTGTTAACAGACTAAACGGTGGTATTGTTTTCAATGAAAAGGGGTTTGTTGTAATTCTTGGAGAATCTGACACAACAACATCACCATCAGCATTTCGAGGGGATTTTGTGGGGGGTAAATTGAATTCAAAGGCCTCTCTCCTGGTATGGCTGGTAAGGGCAGAAGAGGTTACTTGCTTACTGCACTTTTGCCAGTCACCAGCCTGCATGGAATAGAGTTCAGATTCATTCAGATGAGTGTTTAGTCATTGACTGCCCTCAACTCCCTCCCCCCCCCAAAAAAAAAATGAATAAAAAATATAAATCAATGTAGAAATGTTATCCACAGGTACACAAAGTGTAAATACAAGAGCTAATTTCAGCAAACTCTTACAGGTGGACCGCCTTTTTCCTAAATTTTGCGAGTGAACATGACATGTAACTCTATTAGCTTAAAACAAGCATTGACTCGTCTTTAGTTTCTCCACAGACTTTTTTTTCTGCGAAAACTCAACCCCACCCACCCACCCCCTGTGGCAGGTCAAATGGTCCTCGCAGCTACGTGCTGAAACGCAATGATTATTCGGTTTGCTGAAAAGGGGATTTTTGTTTCTTCCAAAGGACATGATGGGATTTAACCAGGCTGTTTAGGTGACCATTATTTTTACATTGCTGAGGTATTTCAGATTCGATATACTCACCAAGGAGAGCATGTTACACTTGTAAAGTCAAGCAGTAAAAAAAAAAAAGGCAAAGAACAATCAGCCCGAGGTTTAGATGACCTTTAGTCAGGATCCTATAACCCCTGCTTCAGTATAATTTAACTTCGAATACAAGTGATGTGTTATTTCCAGTGGCCTAAGTCTTGTCCTATCAAGCGAAAATCAAAACGCGAGAAAATCAATTAAAGTTTCCCGCGGCTATTTAATTTATGCCAAGTTGCGCATTCGACCAATGAGCGTCCGGTGTATTCTCGTTCCCAGAGCCCGTCTTTCTTGGTCACGTGCTCTTTTTGTTACAACTTAGAGTGACTCTGGGGACGAGAACGCGTCCGGTGCAATTCCTGCATTTAGTATGAACAGCGGTATCTGCAGGAATCGCACCGAGGTTCAGTCGGGTGTACGTGGACATTGAAGCTCTGTTTATGGCTTTTCTTCAATATGTAAGTGGTAAAATCTAAGATCAATGTGGATGCAGACAAAAGGTTTCATCTCAGAATCACTCAGTGAAGTTATCCGATTTGCGACAGTTGAACTTCAACTTCGATAGGACATTGACTCTTAGCGAGCTAGTCAGCCGACTTCAAAAGAATACTGCACCGTTTGTCTTTGAGAAATATTTAATATTTTATTGTATTTTCCTGTGGACTGTCTTTTTCGTGTAAAAACCATTACTCTTGAAACGGCTAACGTAACGAATTGTCACGTCATCGCCACTGACATACTATTTTTATCTTCCAATCACAGGTCGGTGCAATTCCTGTATTTAGCTGCTAGTAGAGTGACACTAACGATATACCTTAATTTGGGTAAGGGAAATTCCCCGACCCCTTCTCGTCTAGTGCTATCTGGTTCGGATTTCACTAGACGATGGCCATGTGAAAATTTGCTATTATACTTTGACGTTCTGACGATCTATCTGATCTGATTCATGGGTTCCAGCTACAGAAACCTTCTCCTTCAAATAGCAGAGAATGTGACTCCAAACATTCTGGAAGACCTAAAATTTTTATGTTTAGATGACATCGAGGAAGGAGAATTAGAACAAATTTCTTCACCCGTGAAGCTCTTTAAGGCTCTAGAAAGACGAGAGTTGCTAGGTATAAACGATCTGAAGTTTCTCCAAGACCTGTTGACGAACGTGAAATGTATACAACTAGCCAGCAAAGTTAAGGACTTTGCCTTACGAAGAGAGCTTGAATTGCTGGTCTTGAATGAACAGCGTGTCAAACTCATAGGAAGGTGTTCGAGATATGTGCAAACCCGCAGATTTCCATGTGAAGAAGATGATCCTGGCAGCATATTCCACATGGCCTTAGCTGTCTGTAACTGTAAGTAAATTTTGACTGACTCAATGAATTATATATTAAAAAAATATAACTTTTTTTGCCATTGGTTCCCACCATATAGGGATAGGTGGGAGGGAGGGGAAGGGGGGATGAGAAGATCATGGGCATGACTGCACCAGGGCCCACGCAAGGGGAGGGGCTGGGGAGGCCAGGGCCCCCCTGACTTTTTGAAAAATAAATGAATAAAATTAAGTACAGTGCAACCTCAATGTAACAAAGGGTCAAGGGACTGGCAAAATATTTTTGTTATAACGAGGTTCGTTAACTTATATCAAGGTTTTTTTTATATTGCCTTATATTTTACTATTACTGGAGTAAAAAATATAGTTTGTTAGACTGAGGACTTCGTCATATAGAGGTTCCACTGTAATATACAGTACGTTCATATAAATAGTATCTTTGTTGGAATGAGAATCTTCCAGCGTCTAAATTTATCATTGGTCCATTTCGATCCTAGATCTGATGGGTATATAGTAAGCTTAAAAGCCCCTGTCTTTACAAAAGTGCACTTAGTCCTAGACTTCTGCGTTTTCAAACCAGCAAGGCTGTAGCATATGCAATGATGAGGAATGGAGTCTTTTATGAAGGTTCTTGATTAAGTCTGTAGACTACTCCACGGGCAAACTATGGTTTCTTAAAACAAATTATATCTGCTGATGATGTGGTCTCGGACGCTTTTCGATGACATACTAGACAAAATGAAGGGGTTACAGGAACCTACGTACAGTTTAATATCATAATCATGATATGCAAAATTCTACTCGTGGATCCTGCATGTGCAATCATGCTCAGCAGGAGAAAGGTTCTATTCAGCAGCTTGAAATTTATAAACATGACTCCGCTCAACAATGACTCAAGAAAGGTCTAGTAACAGCGTGCAAAGAAAGTAGTGTCCGATAGCACGGGGCTAGTGGATTTTGCTATTGGGCTAGCTGAATTCTGTTCTCAACTTAAGTGAAGTTTTTTGAGGAATTCAACCGACAGAAGAACTGTGAAATCAATTCTGCGCACCAAAATGTTTTGGGGGCTAGCTGAAATGATGTTTCGGCTGCCCAGTAAATTCTAGCTTCAATTTGCCCAAATGGCAAGCTGCAAAAATTACATTCTTTGCACCCTGAGTAATCTGACAGTTCTAAACAGCCACAAAGATAGAACAGCCAAATTTGCCCCTCCTATCCCCCAACACTTCAAAAGAGGTGGTCACCGGCTCCCATACTTTAAAAACTGCTCCATTGGCTCTGCAACAGTGAGGCCACTGGGTGGGGACTGTTTAAAGTGTTCCTATTCCAAAATAGGGTGTTTGGTTTAGTCCTGTCAAAGTTATACTAATCCTCTATTTAATGTTACCCCGGGGGTTACTGGGGTTAATTTTTGCTGGGTATGTGTCGCTGGCCTCTCAGAATCCCTACTGCATTATAGACTTATAGTCACTCCAGGAAAAAAGTAATTTTTGCAATGCCAACTTTTAATAGTAACTTTCGGTTTATGCATCTATCTTAATAGAGAGGGGGGCGTTGGGATTTTCGGTTTTTTGGTTTTGGTCATTTGTAGGTCAGTTTTTCAGGTTTTGCACTTTTTAGGTTTTGTTGTCCATTGCGGTTTCCGGTTTTTTGGTTTTTTAGCATCTGGTTTTTGGGCAAAAATAAAGCAGGTTAGATTCCTCTATGGATCTCTGTGCAGTCAGATGTTAGGCTATTTTATATGTTTCTATTTTACAGTCAGTCCAGGTCAAATTACATTATGTGGGATTCTGGACTTTTGATTGAGGTTTACAGCTATAGGAGAGCCATTGAGGGTCCTAACAATTGTTTTTCAGCCCAATTTACCAGGGTGCACATTGGTTTAATTTCTTTATTTGCAGGTAATTCAGGAAAGGAAGATTTAAAAGAAATGCACTCTACTTGCAGCTCATGTATTTGCAGTAATCATCATTCCAAAGGGAGAATACCAGCGGGCAAAAATTTGCTAATTTTAACTTCACTTCACTCTCTTCTTTCTTGTTTTGCTAATATTGTTGATTTACTTTTAGTTTTAACACTGTAGTGTATATGGCCATGGGCTGGGTACATTTTTCGCTGGGCATGGGTACTGCAAACTCTGAGTTTGGAGCAGTTTCCTCTCAAAATTTGTACAAAGCAGATTCATGGTGCAAAAGGTTTGGTTTTGGGTGTTTTTTCTGGTCTTAATTTATAGGAGACTATAATACATTGGAAGTAGGGGAAGGGGGTTGCATAAATTAATTGAGACCTGTGCAAAAGAAAAATGTCCACATTTTACTTCTTTTGAGGTTGAGATCTCTGTAATTAGCCCAGATAAATACTTACTGGTAACAGTAAAAATGCCTTACAGCACAAAAGCAATCCAGAAAAAAAAGAGCTATTAAAAATTGTGAACAACTAGGCCAGAATACTGGGAAAAATTGAAGCTTTTATTGTAAGGCCTGTCTCTTTTGCTATCTTTTGTGCAAGTTTACTTTTTTCCCTTTTTGACAAATAGATTTCTCTCTATCCTTTGTAATTTCAGAGCATGTGATTTCTTCTGTTTCAATTTTTGGATCCTTTCTGACTTTCTTCTCTTTTTTTTGTGCAGAACTTTACCTTAAAGTTTTCCTGAAACTGGCTTCCAAAGGTGCTTGGTTTGCTGGCACAGCATTCATACTCAAGAGATACATAAATGATCCAGAAACACTAGTGAAGTTGTTTGCTTCTGTTGTCTTACCTTCAGGAATTGTTTTAAAGTATCTTTGTGAAGGTTCAGTGCTTTGTGTTCTAGAAGCAAGCGATTTACAGGGCTTGTATACTCTGTGGCAGAATTATGAGGATGGCAGCCTTAAAAAGGCTTTGGAGGAAATTTTGATAACAGAAGACCTAAAAAAGATTTCAGAAGGTCAAGAAATAATCTTGGATGTAGATTTGGACAGGGAAATATACCAAAATGCATGTTTGGAGCTCATTTCCATTAAGGAGAAAGGTAAAAGTTAAATGTTTATGATAAATGATAATATTTAATATTGGGAGTTGAACATGATTTTCTGAGGCCCCGCCAGGGTAAATTTCTGACCAGTGACATGACCCAGAAAGTAGCGACAGAGCTTAAAATGAAATGGTGACAAGAGAGAATTAGAAACAAAGAAGAGTGGCTTGGCAAATTTTGTCACTTATTTGGATCCAAATTGTGGTCAATTGTCTCAATCCAGAGACTTGAAGACCATGTGTTACTCTTCATTTACGAAATTGCTGACCTCATGCCTTGACACGACTCTGGGGAGACCTGGGAATAATGTTGTCAGTCATGTGTTTATATATGCACCTCTATCCCCCGGCCCTTTTCTAAAATTCCAACAAAGAGAAAGGATTTTTGTTCAATTTCCGACAGCAAAGTGGAGCATTGAGAAATGCCGACACAAGACATTTTGAAATTTCAGATGAGGAACATGGGACCCCCCCCCCCCCTTCCCTGGCCCCCCTGGCAGGGTCTCTCTTCTGAAAAAACCTGTGCCTTGCTATTTATCTCCCAAATTTCCCCCAAAATCTGTTTTAAAATCTGTTACTTTTAATTTTCCCCTCAATTTTTCAGTATCTTGTTGTAGTCAGTACCAAGTACTTGTAGTATAGTTTTTATTCTTGAAACTGATTTTTATCTCAAGTGTATTAATATATAGTAAAAAAAATACATAAGTAATTTATTATGAGAAGTACACCTTTGAAAGCAGATTTTCCTCCAGTGTTGATCAAATGTGCACTTCCAATTAGCTTAGCATAGTTAGACAAGAATGGTTTGTTGAGCAGCTTGATTGGCTAAATTTAGATTTTATGTATGATTATCAATCATGAATGATATCTCATAGAAGATTACGTTTCTTTGTTTTTCCTTAGTTAATGAGCTTTATGATGTAGTGGAGCAGAGACCACGTAGTGTGTCTGATCCCACACATGGTCTGCCTGGAAAACTTGTGAACACCTTTCAAGAAGAAAGCTTTCGTTTAATGGCCACCACAGAGAAAAAGAGACGTCTTCATGCAGAAAAGCAGCTGGATAAGTTTAAATCAGGTCAATCGTTAGAACTTCGCTTTCCTGAGCTACTCCAGCTTGATACTGACAAGAATTCTGAAGATGTCAGTGGTGATGATAGCTCTTCTACAACAAGCACATTAGACGAGGGTAACCCTAAACTTTTAGTCTACCGAACTTATTCTTTTTGGCCTTTTTTGAAAGTGCACAAGAAAATAAATCTATTCTACATTGTTCTTGGTGAGGACTAATAGAATTCTTTTTTGTACATGTGGATTGTGGAATGTTTTTTTGTGGTCAATTAACTGTGTGGACTACAAGTTTTTTCTTTTTATCTGAGATTTGTTATGTACAAAATGATATCCACTTGCTTGTTGAATTTAGAGAAGATTTCATGGAGGTGAAGGGCTAATTTTTTGTTTGCTCCTTTCTTTTTTCTTAGAGGACTTGCTGAATTGGGAAGATGAAAACAATCCATCAAATGAGTTCTGGAAATCCATCAAGGGTGGATTTAAGGAAAAAGTAATCTAACTTACATTGCATCATTTCCCAGTTAGCTGTGAGCATAGTACCATACCCAAGTTGATCAAGGGGAATTCACTTTTGAGCATAAAATGACAAAGGCTGCCCCCGAAACACTAAAATGGGTTAATTTCAATGACAATTTTTAGCAATTTTTGATTCATTCTTAAGTAGTCCTCAAATGTCATATGTAAGTCATCATGCTCATGGTAATTGATTAATATGATGGCTTAGAAACTAATTAAAAATATCTTTCTAACTATTAAATAGTCTTGGACAGACTTTGAGGATGCAATCATTAAAGGATTCCCTGATGAGCTTGAGCAAGGAGGGATCCCATTACTAAAATTCCTGGCATATGTGCTCAGAGTTAACTATGGTAAGAATTTAACTGCTTTTGACTGTTTGCATGTTTTGATTTAATATTGGCCATTTCAGTTTAATGATAAGTAACATTTGCAAATACTTCTCTTCAAAGATAGAGGACATTTGAATTCAAAACATTTGCATCACACAATATTAAGATGGTGGCCATATCTAACATAGTGGCTTAGCTTATTATTTTTTGTAGTAGAATTGATGTAATATTAATTGATTGATGACTCATCACTTTTATGGTAAACCTCAGTGGAACATGTTTCTTTAAATATGTCTCTGTCAGGTGTCAGTAAAATGCAGGGTGGGGGTGGGGCCAGGGTCGGGGTGTACCTTTTTTTTTAAAGAATAAGGGTTGGTTTAGGGTTAGTGTCAACCCAAACGTAACCGTAACCCTAAAACAGCATTCTCTAAAAAAAAGATAGACCCCAGCCCCGAACCCCACCCTGTGTTCTCCTGACACCCATCTCTGGCAGCCATGTTGATTATGTGTCCCCTAAAGGGACATTGCAACAATGACATCTCCATACTAAAACCTTCAAATAAGAATCAATTTATTTATCTTTTTCCATCCCAAAGATTCTTGACGTCTTTATTGCTGAGTCATGATGATTTCGATTTTTATGGCGTTAAAACCTCCAATAAGACAAACTCTTTTAGAATTATTATAAATCTTGCTATTTATTTCAACAGTTTTGATTTTTATAAATTTCCATTTTTAGACAAACGGACATCAGAAAATGTCTCACTCAGTAATTTTATCAGAACCTCAAAGTGGTTTGGATCATTTGTAAAAGGATCTCAAGGCTGCTTGAGCAAGGTAAAAGTATTATTCACATAATTGATTAACTTGGTCGTAAAAAAAATTTATATAAGAGGGATAAAAAAGTGAATGCTTACGTCTAAATCTTTTTAGTATCATTTTTTTTCAGTTGAGGTCTAAACTACTGTATATGTAGATTTAAAAATACGTTCTTACAAAATAATTGGGTTTTATGATTAAAAAATTTAAACTAAAAATGACTTTTTGATTAGCATTATTTAAAGCTTTGATTAATCAAAAGCTTTAAAATTGCTATACCACTTTCCAAACGTGATTATTTTCCCAGAAATCCATAGATAGCCAGAGTCTTTCTAGTGTACCAGTTAAGCTAAGTCAAGGGGTCTGCTTCTCTAGTTCTTAGAATTTTGTGTGTTTTCACAGTGCAGCTAACAATACCACACATTTTTATTATGTGCAGATGGTTGATTTAATGGAAAGCTCAGCTTCTTTAAGTCCTGATGGTGAAAAAACAAGGTAATGGAAACCCAATCATTATTTTAGAGTCCAAATCATAATTTTTCGCTCACTGGGATAATAGTACAACAAATTGGTAGACAATTTACAACTCTTTATCACCACCACCACCACCACCATCATCATCATCATCATCAGCTTTACTTACGTTTATAGAAATTTACATAAGAGTTTAGAATGTCTAGCATCAAACTGAAGGTACAACCAAGGGGATAACATGAAACAGACACATATTGAGTGGCATATGGAATGGACACTCATTGACTTGACCCAGCCACCTCAAGTGGACTGAAAGCTAAGGCATTTCGTGTAACTATTTATGCATGGTTACAGTACAAGTATAAGCGTAACCTGTCATGCTCTGTAGGATCGAACTTTATCTGCTGACTAAATTCAATCTTTGTGTGTTTCTGACAAAATTTATTTCATCTTACTGCAGCTGGTTTGCAGGATATATGACAGAGAGTGAGGCAAAACAGAAACTTCTAAATCATGAGGGTGGAGCATTCCTGGTCAGATTTAACACTTCCATGGTGTCACCTGGCTTTGTGTTGTCGACTAAGTCACATAGCAATGACTTCGTTGAGTATAATATAGAGGCAAGTTTTTTCAGTAATCATTATTTCAAATTATGATAATGTCTTGTGTATTGATATTAATCAAAAGTGTGCCAGCTGCTCTCTAATCAGTGACGTTTTTGTGTTCAGTAATTTCCTTGGGTGGGTTTCCATGGAGAATTCTCGCGGGGGTGTGTGGCATGCCTCATGAAAACCCCAACCCTATTCCCTGGTTTCAGAGGGCACAAAACCATGTCATGTGTCCTGTTTCCAACGCAAAAGGTTAAAATCTGTACCCACTTTCAGACCAAAAGCCAAAATCCTTCTTCTTTGGCGATTCAAGTACTTTTATAGCTTATGAAAGAGAGTAGCTCCCCACAACCCCCCACCCTCAGAGTTAAAAAGTGAACGTTTTTGTCCAGTTTGTGCAAGTTATGGTAAGTAATGAGTGAGGAATTAGGTTGATCGCTCATCAGCTGTAAACTTCCTCAAGCATTTGTGAAGGTTTTTGGTCCCAAAATTTGTCCCCATTTTCGAAGGAGGCTGAGGCTTTTGTGTTTTCCTTTTTTCGCTGTAAATTTTCTTCCTGGTGTGAGCAATTCACTAGTCGGCTTATCAGGAGAAGTGGATTGGGTCTAGCCATCCCCTCTTTTGGACAACTAACATGTTTGTTAGAACAGTTTTTCCCTGTTATCCGTGATATCTTGTACTGCCAGTAAGGGTCCATGAATTAGGCAAGTAATGTAATTATTTCTTCCATTTTTGTGGGGTTGTCAGAATTTTCAGTGTGGCAGTTTCCTATTCATCCTACCTCAATTGCACTGTTTTGTGAACGTAATGTTGTGTTTCCGGGCCGATTCCACCCTCTCTTACAAAAACCTGGATTCGTCCCTACTCATAAAAGCTCCGGCTTTTTTACGTCATTCACAGGTTCATCGTGAATCAGGGAAAGTGGAGATCGGTGATTCTGTATTTGACAGCCTGCCCTACTTGGTGGCGGAATTAAGGAAATCATGGATGAAGGATCTGCAGCCAGTTACACATAGTTAATCAAAGTTTAAAACGAGGAACTATCTCTTGTGACATATTTTTTTTGTTTAATTGTTTTGGAGTTTTTTTTGACACTCCAATGTCTATAAGATCTTTAGCAATTTCCAGAGTGAACTAGAGGTTACAGTTTTCGTCGATCACAGGTGGCGTTTCTATAGAGGCGTTTTATAAGAAGCAAAATCATAATGCTAAGCATAAAAAACGTGACAAACGTTTCCGACTAAATCGGTAGAGTGGCCATGTCCCCCAACCCTCACTCCTATCCTAGTCAACAGTTTATGTGATACCATGTAAAGATCTAGCAAGAACAATACGCGAAGGCCCTGAAGTTTTTTTTATCGTTGTTATGTAGGCAAGACCTTCTTTTTTTCCACTCACAACTGGATGTAATCGGTTTTTCAGCTACATTTGTAGCCAATACCCTGACATGTATACGTTTTTCTGTGGCGAAAGAAGTTGAACATGCTTTGACCTTCTTGGGTTGTGTTTCTTATACCGGAATCTGAAATAATTAATAGGTAACAAAGCATAGATAAAAGTAGATGTCGGTGTATGACAGTGGATAAAGAACGGAATATAAATAACAATGTAGAATAAAAACAATGGATTCCCACCTTTTTGGATGTCTTATTAATCAATATCAATTACGCCCACTCCATCGTCACCAGTAGTCTCCACAAGAAATCCTTTCGCGGGCTTACTTGCCAAATACTTTTGCGTCTTGGTCTTACAAAATTAGTTTAGTTGGGACTTTAATCGATAGCAACACTTGGTTGGCTGGTAAAATCTTTCAGCCGGAAATATCCAAGAAGAAGTAAATTTGTCTGTATTAAATCCAGTCTTCAGTTCACGCATCAACTATACCCTTTTGATATGTCGAAATGTCTCCAATAGATTTTAGTGAAACTTCGCCCAGCAAAAGGCAAGCACCTAAAACATTTCCAAAGAAAACGCGGATAGGGGCTGAAATTAGATTTAGAGCGTCATCAATTGTGACGTCATTGTCACGTGAAATTCATTCCGATTCTTTGTCTAATATACATGTGTTATAATGAATTTACAATAAAGATCAAGCTGTTTAGGTATAAGAGGTTTAAAGATGAAAAGTGTGCGTACAAAATACTGGGTCGACCAACTCAAGTTATATCACTACAGAAGAAATAACAAGCAAACTGCGGGGATAAACTGATAGGGAAAGCGCATTTCGGGAAGGAAATAAACCTTTAACTTGGCGTTTCGTTTGTGCGAATGGATTTCAAAATAGAAAAACAAAAAAATCGAACCAAACGAGTGATCATTAACAGCGAACATGTGTGAAGTCAGAAGTTCCTGATGGCTCAGTCTTGGGGCCATATCTATTTATATTGTACATCAAAGAACTACACGAGACTTGACAGTCAACTGTATCTTTGCGGACGACTCTCTTTCATAGCTTATTATAACATCAAAGGCTGACACTGAGAATCTCGACACTAACCCGTACAAATTTGAACTGTGAGCAGAAAAAGTAAAGAGCCACTCTCAAACAGAACCCTCAAAAGTCACTTCCCCCCCACCTCTACTCCCTGCAAAGTAAAGTTCATGCAAGAGTAGACTCGGGAAAGAACCTAGAAGTCTTTCTCACCTCAGATGCCGTATCGCGGATATCACATAGGCAAGCAGGACATCAATAACTTGGTTAACTTAAGGAACCTGAGAATCAACTTATCCGCTCATAGATCCGTGACTCACAAGAACCTTATCCGCCCATTATTAGAATATTCATTCGCGGCAAAACAAACTAGAAATGGAACAGAGACGTTCCTACTTAAAAGCTGTATCATAATAAATCCGGCCGGCGTTTGTGAAATGCTCGAAGCCGCCACAATGAGATACTCTCGAAGTGACAACGAAGGAAAACAGACCCTGATCCCTTGATCTGTTACAAAATTCACAATGGCCAAAGAAGGATTGACACCACGCAATTCTAACCCTAGGTCGTATTAATCGCTCCATATGTATATGTAAATATCGAGAAATTTTACAAAGTCCCCTTCGTACAGTACCATTACACCCTTTTGCCCTTTTCCGCTGAGCCTGGTCCCAGGTTAGAAATACTCTGGCTGCTTGAGGTGTTTGTAACTGTACTTATTTTCCTCACGACAGAACGACTCGTAGGAATCGTCATTTTCATGGAAGAGAACTAAATGGTAGGTATAGAAGAGGAAACACTCATCGGACTCTTTTGAAGTAGACCGTCTAAAAGCCTGTGTCTATCCGTCGACATGAAAAACCCCACTAACCCCTCCCTCTACCGATATCCCAGGCGGGGTACTTCGGATATCAAGTAAAAGGGATGACCGAAGGATTTTTGGGGGTTTGAATTTTCGATTTCGGAATTTTTTGGGTAGGGAAATTTTGGCAAGTATTTTTTTGTGGCTAGCTTGATTTAATGGTGGAAATTTGGGGCGGGGCAGGTGGGAAGGGGGTTATTCAACAGTAATGTTCTATTTTTCGTTGGAAATTTTTATGGCTCGGAAATTCGGCATGGAATTTGTTTGGTGTTAAATTTTGTTCCAGGGATTTTTTTCGGGTTTTGTTGGAAGCCCTAGAGATATTTTTGGGTTTGATTTTTGCCTCCATTCGATCATCCCTGTCACTTGAAATCCGGAGTACCCCTTCACCCTTTCCTGGGACAGTCTACGAAGTTTACACAAGACTTTCGCAGTCGTGCTAAACGTTAGTATGGCATGAGTAAAAAACAAATCCAAACTTCAAGAAAAAATGGTACCGGGTGATAGAATTGCTGATAAAGTTACATTTGAATGGTCATACCATAGCATTTCGTGCATTGTACGATATTTGATGTCTCGGACCAACAGAGCTGTAGCCTGCGACCCACGCACTCGTCTAAACCATTTTCTATACAGAAGGTTTAGAACGTCTGCGACGCAGGCAACAGAGCTGTTGTTATAGAGAAGTGTCCTCAGCTGTGTCTTTGCTACTTGGTTCGGACGAATTTACATGCGAAGTTTTCAACTCACAAGCCGAGAATACAAAAGTGATCCAATGAATAAAGAAGAAATACATCCCTTACCTTCGGCTTCATTCTTTGTAGACTGCAGACAGACTACCATTTTCATCTTGCAATGGTTCAGTACGCAAGTAACGATGATACACTGGCTTCTTGGTGGTTATCTTTGTCCATTTGTTTTCCACACTCCAGTTTGAGTTGATGTCCAAATTCTGTCCGTTTTCTCTATAAAACCAAGAGGAACAACTCTCTAAATCCTTCTAATGTGCCCTTCATAATAACTTTTTTGTCGCACTGCTGATAGATTTAAAAATGTTTTAGTTAACGCTTTCTTCTGGCCTTCCATGGTTTTCAAGATGCCGAAAAATTCAAATTTTGAACACTTTCATCTACATCTACATTTATTAAGTTGATAAAATCTTGTACGACATCACATCAACTGTAAATAAAAGCTAAAATAAAATATTGCATGTATATATATGTACATATGCATAAGTTGAATAAAAGTAAATATGTCAAAATAACAAAATAAATAAACAACAATTCATAATTACAATTTGCTTCACTTATTTCACGTGCTTTCCTAAATTTAACTTAAAATCAGATAATGACTTGCAATTTACTAAGTCAGCGGGCAGTGAGTACCACTCTGTTATTGATCTAGGAAAGAAGAAAAACTTAAAGACGTCCTTAGATATTTTTGGCATTCTATACTTAAAAGCATGGCTATTGCGTGTTCTTTTTTCACTGTTTGGTATTAAGCATAAAGTTCGAGTCTCACATAACTATCACACCAGCCTTTGTTTTTCTGGCTATTGTTCGCTGTTTTTGCACCAATCAAGACAAACAACAAAACGGAGCAAGGATAAAAGCGAACAATTCATGAAAAAATAACACTACAAGCACGTGCTTTATCATGTTAAAAATACCTCTTGCAATGGGTTGTTATGGTTACGGGAATGGGGGTCTGGGTTTACTGATTGGGGTAGGGAAGTTGGAGCATATGCGTGCCATATGCCTCATGGACTTTCGCTTCATAATAATGCTATTGCTGAGAAACAAAACTTGGGACTTACGAGTATTCCGATCCTACCCCGGTTTTATTCATTGTGATTACAATAACGTTCTGCTACTAACAGTTAACTGCAACGTTATTTATTACTCAATTTATTTTTTTATATCTAAACTCTGAACTATAGAATATAAAATTCAATTCTCTTAAAAGTCCAATTCACCCTTCATATAAAAACAAGCCCAAACTTGATTAAATTGCCATATACATGTCTCCCCCTTTTTCCCATAACAGGAGGCTTATTAATAATCATTTACTGCATGATAAACTGGTGACTACACATGCAGTATTAAAACTAACACTACGTTTGTCAAAAGACACTTTCTTAATCATTTGAGCTGATCTAAAAATCTTCAAAGAAACCTCACTATTGCTGTCAGAAGGATATCAAAGAATAATTTACATTTTGTAACAATTGAAATCATTTGTTCATTTTTCTTGTATCTGTAAAAAAAAGACAAAAAAAAAGACAAAAAGAAGAGAAGAAAGAAAATCAAGGCAAAGTATTTCTGAAGCTGCCCATAGTTGTTCTTGTCCAACGTTTACTACTAATCAATGTTTGCATGTCCACATTAACCATCCTGCTTACGACTGACAACAATAATACAATGTAATAATGTAATAATGGCAATGTTTTTGGGTTACCTGTAAATAAAATTATTCATTAAATTTAAAAGACTTGCTCCTTTGGGTAGCTAGATAGATGTACAATAGTGTACCTACAATAAAATTATTCCGTGACTAAAATGAACAAAACTTGGGCCAAGACCTACTAGTACAAGTTTAATTTTTTAACGCCTCTAAACTTAAAGATGCTGCCCTTTGCAGAACCACCCATAAACTGCCATCATTTTACTGCCGCTTTGGTGTGTCCATAAGTTTACTGCCAAACTAAACTGTCAGGAAACTGTCTCAATGTTAAACCAGTGCTATGTTTAATCTCATGATTCATCAAGTCTCACTCTCTATGGGACAAAATCTGAATAAATTTCTTCTCGTGGAAACACGCCACCAAGTTGTCACACCCTTTGCACAGTGCAATGGCATTCAAACTTCCGCCCATGGGAAAAGTGGAGATAACTCTGCCATCAGACTTGACGACTATAACTGAATTCTTGTCAGAGCCACATACAAGGCTGTCATGCACAGCATCCAGTGCCATGGAAACCAAACGGCCATTGTTGTCTCCAAGATTCTTGATTTCACGGAGAGGCTTTCCTTTATGATCAAAGACTTTAACGGTGTTTGTGCCATCTGAGACAAAAAAGTTGTCATTATGGTGAACTGCTAGTAATTTATCGCCTTTGAGGTGATCGGAGGTGAACAAGGGAAATTTCTCCCAGGATTTTACCATATTTGTCAACTTTTGCTGGGATAAAGTTCACTTCTCTTGTTCGATGCAAACTCTGAAGTTTTGTGACCTCTGCTTTTAAGCTCTGCAGTGAATCTTGACACTGAGTTTCGCATCTGCCTTTGGATCTCTGGAATTCTTTAACATCATTTTCATCCTTTGTCTTGTCCGCAACATCCAAAGAGATTGACACTTTCCTACACAGCTGTTTAACTTCAGCACATTTCAGATCGAAAGGACTTTGAGAAGCCATTTCTTTAAAACTCGCATCAACCTGAGACAACAACTTCTTCTCTTCTGTCTCGATTCTTTTGGCCAAACGTTTTGCCTCAGCTCTTATCTGATCCTTCATTTTAATCTTGCTTTCCTCGAACACTTTAGCGTGTACTTCTTTAAGTTTCTCAAAGTCTTTACTTATTTCATTCATCTGCTCTCTCCACCGTTGAACGGCTTCACCAAAAGCACGTCTTTCTTTCTGGATAGGAGAATTCTCAATCAGCCGTTTTAACAAATGGTTCGTAGGAAAAGCAGCTACTCCCAAAGGAGGAATCTGAGACTTCTTGCGACATTCAGGACATTGCACTTCGGTACTCCTTGGATTCTGCCTCACAATTTTACCAAGACACTTGAGACAAACATTGTGTGCACAGGTAGGAAGGCACTTAGGGTCGTCAAATATCTCCAAACAAACAGGGCACGCAATTTCATTACCTACAAAAGCAGCGAAATCTGAACCTTTCGCCGCCATCTTGTATTAAACCGTCGCGCTTGGCACCTTGGGATATGAAATCTCCAGGTGCTCTGGGCCATGGCGTTGGGGTGGGGAGGGTGGGAGAAGAAGAAGAAGAAGAAGGAGTAGACTTCTTACAAGTCGACCTCTCATAAGTTCTTAAGAGCCAATGTCTGTAATTTTCGAAAATCGGTTGACAGTCGTGAATTTTTGAATTTCTTCATATTTTGCCCAAATAATCTCTATAGTACACTTATTTCAAAAATCACATTAAAACTTGTAACGGCTTTTTACTTTTTCCTGAATCGGGCAAAGTTTAAAAAACGCTAAATCGGCGCTCTTTCGAGTTTGAAATTAGCGAAAATCAGGCATTTTCTTCGCGCTCGTACATAAAAAGGGGATGATATCTCTCAATGAAATCAAGTCACAAAGCAAACACAGACTTGTACTTTATAATTCAGCAATTATCTTCAGATAAGCTGTTTAAATGTGACTGTGTCGGTCGCAAGAAGAAACACGATTTCGGCTCTCTTCAAAAATTGCAAATTTGACCTAACTTCACCATCTAAAAAACCTAATTGGTACATAGAGTTTCAACATGAAACAAACACTATTATAAAGCACATCCTTTGCCGTTTCCTGTGTTAAAAAATTTTTGGCGGCATTACAAAAGTGCGTCGCTGAGACACCGAAACGTGCAGGGTAGTTTCGCACGTTGGAACGCTGCAACAAACTAGCCGCGAGTGTAGGCACACAAACGTTTTTGCAAACTTAGCTTCTTTTATGAGGGGCACATTACGGGAAGCTCTTAAGATCTTTTGAAAAACACTTTTCAATTTGATGGTTATAAAAAAGAACTAAGTAGATTAACACTGCATTTGATTGCACGCAAGTAGCTGAAAAAGACAACGCTGCTAATTTCGTGTTGAGTGTAAATATTGACCTCCAGTTTCTGCACCTAAAATAAAGCCGCTAGAAACGGCTTGCTAGCTCTAAATGAGATACGAGATCTATAAGAATTTACTTACCACAGTCGTTTCAACTGCAAGTGGCCGTAGTTTACTGAAATTTTCCGTCGTTTAGCCGCGGACTAAACCTGTGTTGCGTGATGAAAGCCCGTGTGTGATTTGAGTCTTGTCACGCAACTGTACAGACAAGGATAAATCATCGCACGAGTGTACAAGAAAAAATAAAATGACAATTAACACTGTTTTTTATTATTTTTATATTGAATATTCCCCAAAACATGTCGAACTAAATTAAAACTTGATTTTAGGATGTACAAGCCGAAACTCAAACGGAGAAAGAAAACAAATAGAGTAAGCAGAGTCTGCAAAACTTTACACACTAGTTTTCTTTTATTTGCACCTAGCCTTCTGAGCCGTTGATTGTAATAAACTAATCTTAACCCCGCTTGGCGTATAGACTTCTCTGTCGATCTCCTCAGTATGAATTGAGGGATTTAGGTACACACTTACGCCATATGCAACATGAAGGTAGAGCAGGGAAATGGAAACGAGTAAAACTGTTTAAAGAAAAATTGGCCAATGCTCCGCAAAAGAACATTCCTAAAAAACCACAAATCGACAATGGATAATGGACACATTTGATGAGCGAAATAAAAGTATTTAACATGTTTAAATTACTGAAAGTAGTATTGCTTTGCTCCTCTGCAGCAAGAGGGTATCTTCTGGCTAGACCTCAACCTGCTGCTGACGATCTGATCCCCGCCCATTAAAGGCCAGTCTACACATTATGGCGTTAGACCAGAATGCACGTACATGCTAACTCCCGCCTAAAAAAAGGAATAGTCACCTGGCTCTCTCCGCCACTACCCCCCGGCACTCTTTCGCAGGCTAGAAAATAAACCAATTCACTGACAAGTTTTTTTTTCATAACGTCAAAATCCGACGCCTAAATGAAAAAATGCGTTAAAATGCCTCAGCCATTTTACTTATCATCTTTTAACCAAATACGTTGCGCGGAAAAGAGATAAAAGGCTGACAATAGCCTTTCATGTCGATTTAAATTTGAGATGGAGAATGCCCTTTTCGCTAAGTCTGCACCTGCAGTGACCTGTGTGCTAAAAGAGGGGGACATGGGGGTTTACGGTATTGCGGTATTGGGCTTTTTTTCATGCGGTATTTCGGTAATTTTAATTTTAACGTGCGGTATTGCGGTATCATCTAGCTCTGGGGTATGCGGTTTTTCATCATTTTGGCTGACGGTATTCGGTGAAATAAGATTGTTCACGGTATTACAGTACCGTTTATTTGCGCTTTCCTTTCGATACAATACGCAAAACTAAACACAGTAGGACATAGAGGTCAATAAAAGTTAATATTTAGAAGTCTTAAGACATAACGGTAAATGGTTAGGGACGGACCATTAGAAAACTTATGGGGGGGGCGGGCGAAGTACAAAAAAAATATTCGCGCAAGGGAAAATTAAATGAAAAAAAATTCATGCACGCCAATTAACCCTAAAAAATATTCATGCAATGGCCTAAATAAAATTCATGCAAAGAATTTGATACCGAAAAAAAATTCTAGCAGCTCGAAAATTCCCCTCCCCCCCATAACTTTTCTAATGGTCTGTCCCCTTAAGCCATTGTGGGTCATTTTGTGACAGTTAATGGTCGATAATATACAATGTGATTGTTGTTGCATCCAATGACAATGAGTCGCCTCAAGTTACCTTAACAGGCTACGTGTGCCAGTCTGCTACACAGCCGTTTTTAGTGTCGTCACGCAACGCTCCTCCCCAGTGGGGAGGAGCGTTACGTGACGACACTAAAAACGGCTGTGTAGGTTCGAGGTCTTACACATGGCTGAGGTCGCTGAGACGGCGAAGACGGTGTGGTCATCATTGACTGTGTGGCAATTTTTTATGAAGAGGGCGAAGGAGGCGAGCATTATCGCAACAAGAGTAAGTTTAGATGTCGGGTTTCGAGAATTAAAAAAACGCCTTATAAAGTTAAAAAAGAAAATCTGGTAAGTTTGCCTTTTATTGGCGCGGCGTGTGAGACAGTCGAGATAGATGACCCCTGAGATACTGACGTACTAGACTATAGACTCATCCAAACTCGCACTAGACGTGCGTGGAAAGGGTTTTGGTTAGTTAGTTAGTTTGTTTGTTTGTTTTTTTCGCGCTTTCAAGAGTTATTTTTATTGGAGTTAGTTAGCTGTTGGGTCGACCTACCAAAAGGTTCTTTTCAGTGAAAATTTGCCCAAAATTTGCCAACTACCAAAATATTAAAAAAGATGGACATCTGGTGCATAAATGCCTGAGATAATTAAACGCGCACCCCTTTTAGTATGCGGAACCGATTATGAATGTGATTAAAATATGCGATATCGGTATTTAGACGATTTTCGACGCGGTATTTCGGTATTTGCCATTTTTTCTTACGGTATTGCAGTATTGGGTACCCCCCAATGTCCACCTCCTAAAACTCCTTCGTGGTGGTATCCCTCAGGCAAAAACGACCGCCTAGCAGCGAGGAGCGAGGAGAGAAGTCCGTGGCCATTTTCGAAAAGAAAAAGAAGTGTGAAGGCTGCACCTTCGTCGCTCAGAAAACGTCTGCGTATATCATTTTCTTCAGGCCGCGCAGAGTCATCAATTAATGTGCCCTTACGGACCCCTTTTAAATATGCAGACAGCAGGCTGTTCTGGAACGGTACAACGTGATTTGTGTTCCGCCACCCGGAACCAAACATTTAGCGGTGGTGAGGAAAAACTTTTATTTTCATGGCCAATTTTGTGGATCAAACAGTCTGCTAGGTCTAAATGCAGTGATAAAGACATGAATTTTTGTATGTATAGGGTTGATCTTAATGGAGAACCCAATGCCAACCAACCCACCCATCTCCTCCTCGTGCCCGAGCTAAACTTAAACAAGCTAAGTAGACTTTTCATGACGTTAGCATAGTCACCTGAGACCTGTTGTAAAGTTCACTAAAATAATAGCAAGCACCTTCGTAGCCTATTCACAGTCCCTCTACTTTTTCTTTAGAGATCGTCGATCTATTTTCTCTTTGGAGATCGTCAATTTCGCGTATGAAAATAAAAACCGCAGGGGATTTATTGACCATTAGCGCAAGGGGATATCTCTCGCGCGCTCGCTTCGCTCGCGTGCTCGTCCATTTTCGAAACGAAAAAGGAGTGTAAAAGCTGCACCTTCGTCGCTCAGAAAACGTCTCCGTAAATCATTTTCTTCAGGCCATACAGAGTCATCAATCAATGTGCGTTTATGGACCCCTCTATGAGCAGCCAGTAGCCTGATCTGGAACGGTACCACGTGATTTGTTGCACCGCTACCGGGAACCAAACATTTAGCGGTGGTGAGGAAAAACTCTTATTTTCATGCGCCAATTTTGTGGATCAAACAAAGGTCACCTAACGTAAATGCAGAAAACTTTACTCTTATCATTAGCATGGTAGGGTCCATGTTTGGTTATTGCCCTACATACTCACGTGACTAACAAGTCAGGAGCATACCAAGTGACTCACGATCGCGACATCTTTTCTATGATCGCAATACATTCAGCATTACTGGGGCCACAGGCGCCACAAACCAAGTTTGAATATGTGCGAGATGCTATACGAACAGGCATCAAAGACTTGCACCGTAAGACATAATCTTACAGAACTTTAAAAAGCCTTTAGACAGTTTCTCACCGCAAATAGAAAGAAAATGTTCCAAAGAATCTTTAGTTATAATTCTAGCCGGAAAAGAAAGCTTTGAGCGATTTTCTTGCCTCGAGTTCGTCTTTGAAAAAACAAACACCGGGAAGCTGGCTTAAAACATAAACTTCAGCAAACTTAAGCTTGAAGCTTGAAGACTCTTAGGGACACTTTAATACTTGTCTTCCTGAATGAAAATTGTTGTCTCTGTTTATGTTTCACCGAATTATATTTCTTTTATTGATTGTTGGTAGTCTCTCTTGCAATTTTAATCGCTATGCCGATTGTTTTCAATTTTTTGAATTTTTGATTTTTTTTCTAAGCCTAATTGA